AGAATCTCCTTACTACATATTTCTCTGTGTAAACAGTCGAGGCGGCGATTAAGTTGCTTGCGAATCTCGTGTGACATAATCGTAGGCGAGATTTTAGTTCTTGCCTGAATGTAAGTAAACATTATGATACGATAATTTTATGGCGATTATTGCTTACGATAATCGCGTACGATTTTTCGTCACGAAGCGTGCGATAAACTCTCTCCATCTAAATGGGCCTTTATGAGTCAAGTATTAAAAGTCACATTTAAATTAGTTATATTATATTAACATGCAGTTGTACTTTCATTTTTTACTAAGTTAAAAGAGACAATATTAAGGTATTTTTAAAAACGGTTGATTAAAATATAATGAGTTTCTGTATAAAACACGAGCTGTATATTTATAACACAAAGTACTATCTGCCTATTTTAACTATTCTTTTTATAAGAAAAGCCCAAAAAGTATTTAGACACATTTTTCTACGAATTTAAAATTTGCTACTTGTGCCTTTCTTCTTCCGAAGGCAGTACTAGACTATGCCACACTGTTTAAGATTATCGTTTCTGAAATGCACTGAATTGAGCTGCGTCTCGTTTCAGATCAGCAGTAAACATACCCAAAAAAAACGGATTCTCTGCCTTATACCACAACCAATGTCTCGTATAAAGATTTTGTTTCCGTGTGTAGAGCTCGTAATGACTTATGTAAAGGACGTATTCTTCAAAAGTCGTTGTACCTATTTAAAATGTTGGCCATTTAAAAATATTATTGTAGATTATGTTTGCACACCGATAACTGGGTGGACATCGCACAAGACAGGGCGTGCTGGCGCTAACTAGTTCGGAGGCCAAGATTCAATCCGGCTCCCACACCTTCGGGTCAGGGGTTCGATTCAAAACCTTACGATAACTCAGTTGTCGACCGATGTCTTTTCATTTTTATTCACAACACCCGAACCGAACGTCAAACTGTCGTATTCGAAACCGAACCGAAATGACGTCACACCCGTACGATTACTCGAACTTATCGACCGGCAAAGGCTACAAACGTTAATCAGAACAGTTATCGAATGAAAGTTACCGACTGTCCTATTGTTTACAAAGCAAGATGTAATATAGAAATCTCTAATTATTTTAAATAAAATCTGGATTTTGTTCAGTTTTATTAATTTATTTTAATGCAAGATTAATATATTCCTATCCTTTAGGCCTTTAAAGTCTTAAAAATGTATATAAAAGGATTTTCATTTTTCTATTTCACCGGTTAACTCCGTAAACGTTGTTGGATAACGATATCGTATCCGAATGCGCGTGATGACGCGTGATGCGAATGAAGCTTCATACTTGATACTTGTCTTTTAATTTTGTCGAATATTACTTATTTGACAGTAATTGTTTCGGGCGGAGATCGAGAGTAGACCCCCTGAATCGAACGCCCTTCGATTCGAGAACGATATCCAATCGAACGATTCGGTTAAAATATCGAAGAGTTTTGAATCGGGGTCCAGGTCGGACAGTGTCTAATTTAGTTAGCACTTCGGTTCAGGAAGTCTATCATGAAATACGTGATTGAGTCCGCAACGAAGTTCATAGGTACTACATGTGCCCGTTTTACACTTTCGTTTGACGATTTCGTGAATTTTCGTGACGGTGATAGTGATTGGTCGAAAGCATTGCAGTCGTATCGCGCAGACCAATGGCAGACCGAGCCAATCTCTTATATATAGAATACAATAGAAGCTAATCTCAATATTCCTCAAACAGATGCTGTTTGGCGCTGGTGCAAGAGGTTTGCGAACAGCACATACCTTCAAAGAGGTCTATGACCATTCTCGGAAATCCACAGAGGGTGGGTCATACCAGATTTTATCTGATACGTCTATACCAACCCTATAACTGACAGTCTACTCACCTCATCCTTATGAAAGTCTCTCAAAGGTTCAACAACCCTTCCGCGCTGGCGCAACGCCCTTACTAGCTCAGTGTCGTTGTGATGGGTCTTGATCGTAGCCGCGTTGGTCGAGCATAGAGACGACGCGGACTCGATCAGGTCCGGTCGGAGAGTGCCTTGGCCTAGGAGGACTTGTTCCTCGCTGTATATAAAACGTACACATATAGTATTGCAGTTCTTAGATGAAGACGCCCATGGGCTCTATTCATATTGACGTATTTTTTGTAAAGAAATTGTACATAGCATAATAAACTTTATGTCATGTAGATACGGTAGGGTATCAGAAATTCCTGATACTGCGTGAGAATTCTTCGAAAGACGCGTCACCTGTTTTTTGGCAAGTATCTAGTTTAAATGTCTAGTATTATAAAAAATAGTCATTGGTATATGTAAAGAACTTATTGAATACAGTTTTCTTGTAAAATATCGTGGTAAATTGTGTTTTTTTTTCTATCGTGAAAATTTTAAGGAACCGTGTTTTCACATCGTATAGTAATCGGTGTGTAATATACCGTAACGTAATCAAACACCTTTAACGTAAGCGTTTGGCGGCACGCGCCGTTTGCCTGTACTTTAGTGCATTACAATAAGTCGTATAGATCGGGTTTATTCATAACATCACTTAACATTTAACATAACATAATTTTAACTATTTTGGAGAACAAACTTTATAAACTTAAACAGTGTTTCCATGATCAACAATTACAATCACCACTACCCCGAGCACGGTGTATACCTTCAATTTTATTATATATTTATCCAGTGATTGATTCAACTCTTTCGCTGTTATGCGGAATTAAACAATGCCATTTGAGGCTATATAGACTCTTAAAAATTAAGTAACTTTATTATTGAGGGTGTGATATGCACCTTTAAAAAAAAGGAGGAGGTTCTCAATACTAGCCTTTATTTTTTTAATTTTGCGAACCGATTTCGATTATACTTTTTTTATTGGAAAGGCTGTAGCTATATTGAAATTAAAAGAAAATATTCCAACTCTAACGGTGGCCAATTAGGGGATGAATCCGTTTTATTGAATTTCACCCACTTCCCGTAAACCAATTTCAATAAAATTTGGCACATAAATGTAATTCCAATGAAAATATAAATGTTATGGTGAACTAAAGTAAATGGTAACCTAGAGTTAGTTTTTTTTAATAGAAAAAATATAAAATTGTAACGTCGTCGTCGTCGTATGTATATACTATACTTGGTATTGTGATTTCTTTGTAATTTTTCAGGATGAAGATAAAAACGTGATGTAAAATGTAGTAAACGCAATAATATATGTAGTTAGCATTTTAATCAATTAAATTATACCTCTTTTAGATACTCAAATATATTACTTTAATAATATACTCCCGGACACATAATTCGGAGTGTTATCATCGTAGAAAAAGTTTTCCTCCGGTTTTGCAAAATACAAAAATACAAATTTCCAACAAGGACTTATGAAAAAGACGTTTATTATACTAGTTTCAAAATTGCGTAATAATTTTTGATCAATCAAACATTGTTTAAGCTTAGAGCGCTTAATACGGAAAATGTGAGGTGGCTCGAATTATGTGTCCGCAAGTGTATATTTAAGCAAGAAGTTTATAATTTTTTCTTCAAAAACAAAAATGAGTAAAAACGAAGCATTTGAAGACGCGTATGCGAGGTTTTCATTCTAAAGCGACGATATTGTCCTTACTTGAGATTGAAGTCGTGCACGGCACGTTCTGCGACGCGGATGAAGACATCGCCGATGATCTTGCGCTTGTCCTCCGGCGCTAGTGCATGGCAGAGCAGCGGCGTGTGTCGCGCGCGGCCACCACTATCGCGGACTACCGTGCTGCCTTGCCGGAACTATTTATCACCAATTACAACATCTCATGTACTTATTGCGAGGCGGTAGCAGTAATTCAGAGGTCGATGGTTCGAATACCTGTGGCGGCATGTCCGTACATTTGTGAATATTAGACAACATCATATAAGTTTCGAAGTATTTGTGTTTATTTTTAAAAGTTATACAGTCTTGATGTTAATGTATTGAATTATCACTTAAAGTTGTTTAAGTTATAACTTAAATTTATTGAATAGTCATTTCAAGTTTAAATATGTCAAAAAATAAAAAAAATACTTTCATTATTTATTTATTACAATATTGTTAAGAATTTACAAGCTCATTTTATATATTTACTTAAAAGTTCGTTAAATAAATATTAATATAATATAATAATAAAACATGACATACGTTGCTCTGATCCAAAAAGAACTAAAGTACTTGTTGTTAAATTATTTTTTTTGTGAAATTACTCCACTAGTTTGTTATAATTATTAATACAAAGATCGAACGAAAGACGACGAAACACTTTAATAGATTTCTCATAGATAGTACTACGGCTAAAAAGTCGGTGAAAACCAAATACAAAAGATCCGACGATTGGGAGGCTCCCAGCAGCCCCATATCTTTCAACATTCGTGTTGTTTATAGGATATATATCCTTACAGACCCTTAAGGTATACAAGAAGGGCACTATAACCTGTGCATGCACAGGAACTTAAGTTCAGGTTCTGACCCCAGATCAGCCAATGTACAGGGTTGTCACAGATCGTTGTCACAGACTTCATCCGGTTGTCAAGAGGCTAGTGCCTCGGGTGCTCCCAGAGAGGCTCCCAGCAGTGGGTAGTATAAAATTTTTTTTGGATATTATCAAAAATAAATAATCCATCAATTTTTGTAATTTTTTGTGCATAGCATAATTAACTTTATGGTCAATTGTGTAACGTACAAACTAGATACGAGTCATGCGGGATTATCGCACGTACTCGAGAATGCGCGAGCATTACAAAAATTTACAGAACTCACAATAAAAACTTACAAAAATTCGCTTCCTTTATGGATTTTTAAAAAACTTAGGCATGTATTTGACAAAAAACGTACAAAAGATATTTACATACAACTAGCACAATCAGTTATAAGCTACTGCTTGCCGGTTTGGGGTAAAACTTTTTACACTTAGAAAGGGCGCAACGATCCTTGTTAAAAGTAATGAATTTTAAACCATATAGATTTCCTACAGAAACCCTTTACCTTGAAAGTAATGTCTTTACGGAATTTTTCTTAGTGTTCGATCTTTGCATTAATAATTATAACAAATTAGTGGAGTAATATCACAAAAAAGAATTAAATATTATGGTAAACATCGTAAAAATAAAAAAAGAAACGTGAACAAGTGATCACAATATTACAAACCTGATGTGCAGCATTGATGACGTGTAGACGCACGCCGAGATCGCGTAAACACCGGTCCACTTTGGCGCTCTCATTCTTACGCATGAAACCTGTAGAACATGCTATCCTTATTACTCTAACTCATAATAATAATATTTATAATCATTTCTTCACAGACCTTTATTTCCAGAGCTAACTACATGGCTTAGCTAAATAGGTAGCATAGTTAGTGTTGATGCATGACTAATGTTTTGTCGAACGGCGATAAAGACTTGATTTCCGTGACCTTATTTCAACATACCATACGAGGTTGAAAATAATACGAATCGAGCTTTCGAGCCTTCTTCGGATTTGTAAGGAGCCGTTTCCGTCGCATTCGACTGAGAAGCGACAGATCATTATGAGTGACACAGACAAAAACAGAATGTCGGGTTTTTGTAGTTACAGATTTTCTATGAATTAACTTTAAGTTGAAGTACATTACGTTTTAAGTTTCTTAATTTAAACCGTAATATGCTTAATGATCATACTTTTGATAGTTAGTTCTAAAATGTACTTATAAAATGAAAACTTTTGCTCTTATTGTTGACAAGTCCCATGTGCCTGTAATTTTACCAGCACACTTAGCGCCCACTTACACGACGTGAAAGCTTTCACGCAGCGACCGCGAGTTACGCTTTCACGTACATTAATGGCGAATCTGAATTCTATTTACCAGGCAACAAGATTTAAATTCCTCTGAGTAATACAACCGCGGGTTAGCCGCGTAGATTAAAGACAAGCCGGCCTCGCCCGCGCGTCCGGTACGCACATTTAAGTTAAAACATAAAGGCTAAATAAATAGAGCGTATTTTGCCATGACAGTTAGATGCACGCGGTCTCCACGTGGCGTGAGCGCGATCAAATTCGTGTCCAATAAATACGCTCTTACCCTTCAAAACCGGAACGCAGTAATGCTCACTTTACTGCTTAGCGGCAGTATTTCCCAGGACGAACTCTTTCACAAGGAGCTCTACTGCTACAAAAGTTCAAGGTGCGTACGTTTTTTCATATGAAATACACATTTTACTGGTATCACGTACATTACATTTTTCAAATGTATATTGTCTGTTTTACAAAAGTGATATATTTAGATTTTCGTCATTTTATTATTGATAGTGTCATTATAATAACGCATACACTCGACATAGCCCCGCACTAGGGAAACCCTGTGTCGCGGGTGCCATGGACACACACATAGACAACCACAAATTACACTCAAACTCACGAGAGAAATAAATGTAGGCCATACAAATTTTTCTCCCGGCCCGGGAATCGAACCTGGGACCTCTGCGTGGCAGTCCGGCATGGTAACCGTTCGGCCACGGAGGCAGTCAGCATTATGTATGTGATGATGATGTAAATACCGTTGTCGATGTGCAGCGCGATAAGCTGGTCATCACGCAGCGCGGTCCGCAGCAGCGCTGCACACACCGTTGAGTCTACACCACCGCTCACTAATACCTAGCACAAAGAACATCAATTAGAATTTTAAATCACAAAAATCGGGATTTCTAGTCATGGACCCCCAAGATTTCGAAGAGCCCATGGACCCTTTCTGAAAAGATGAAGAAGAAAGGCTCGCGGGCAGCGGCGTACACCTCATATAGGCAAATAATATCCCTAATAATACCCTAGTAAAAAGTAACACTCATGATACCGAATGATGCTCTAATATTCTTTGATTAATACTTAATATTGCACGCTACAACGTTGTTACAGTTAGTAGTGCACTCGGTAATGCTAACGAACAATATAGGCAACGCCAGTCGCTGCCTAACGCAGAGCACACAATCTCATGATACGGTCGTGAAAATTCAAAAGGTCACGCTCTGTACTTCTTTACTCATAACATATTGTATATAAGTTTTATATTAATGCATTTCGTTAGGTAGGCTCGCCATGGACCCCGGCGTTCATTACACGGACTCCTTAGGGGTTCATGGATCACAGGTTAAGAAACTCTGACAAAGGGAATTTTTAACTTTATGACAGAAAATAATCATTTATCATTTTTTTTATTTTATCAAGTGACGGGACGAACAAGACATGCACATGATGGTAAGCTACACGACTGTCCATAACAGTTGCAGTGCCACTCAGAGCTTTAAATCGCAAAGATCTGAGGTGCACTGCCACTGCGCCCGTCACCCAGAGACATAAGTTGACAAGTCCCGTGTGCATGTAATTTCACCAGCACCCTTACCCTTCAAAACCGGAACACAGTAATGCTGACATTAGTGCTTGGCGGCAGAAATAGGTAAGTGGCAGTACTTCTCTGGACGAACTCTTACACAAGGAGCTCTACTACTACTAAAGACCAAATAAAATAATAAAGCCAAAAGTATATTAAAAATAAGCTTATTCAACATATTATGTAGATTAGAGTTTAAAAAACTCGTTGTAGCCTACTTAATGGTTTGACATATAACCTCTCAAGTAGAGGTCGTGGGATCGAATTTATGTGCGAAATTAAATTCGTGGAGAGGAGAAACAAGTGTCGGGTATATTTTTGGTGGTGGTTTGTGACTGTAGTTGCGCTTGTGTTATTTATTTTATTCATTTTATGCGGAGGGAGGGAGGGATAATTAACTGCAAGAAACAGTATTCAACAGCGCAGCTATTTTGCACGATTTAACCTTCACTAGGTTCGCGGAGAAGCAAATTAATTTACTTCCATTTTTATTAACATGGACTTCCGCAAAGTAACGCCTGAATCAATTAATTAATTTGAAAATTACCATGAGCTTCTCGAAGGAAAACAATGTAATAAAACTTGCACGTCGAAGAACGTAAACAACCCACGGAAAACGTCCGTAAGTAAGTAACCCGTAATGGGCTAGCGTGGCGGACTATGGCCTAAACCCTCGACTAAGAGGAGACCCGTACCGAACAGTGGGACGTATTAATAAATAATAAATAATAATAAAAAATAAATAATTGACATTAAACAACATACGTTGTTCTGGTCCCTAAGTAACTAAGTAAACTAAGTCATAATTTCAATAAGAAAGAAGATATACATAATATTAACCTTAGAGCTAAGTCCAAACTCATGGTACCACGATTTCGTTTAACCAAGGTAAACAACTCTTTTATGGGGAACTGCATACGTTTTTATAATAAGATTCCTAAGTTTAACAACTACATTAAACATATTTTGATCGAGAAGTTATTAAACTGAAGACTATGTGTTAGATAAAGGTGTATGGAAAGACGACACGGTTCCAGAATCCACACAAATTCGATTCAAAGTATATTCCATAGCATTTGAGTTTATTTGAAAATAGCAATCCCTAGAGCGTCTTGCTCGTTCTTCTCAGGGAAGTCAGCGTAGTGAACGAGCAGTAGCTTAAATGTGACGTTTTCAAGAGTAAATTTATTTTACCTATGCATTGTGTTCTTTGAATTTTATTTATTATTAAAATTCAGTGATCTTTGACTTTTGACTTTGACAAAGCACTTGTGTTATGGAAATCGGAAACAATTACGGTACCACCAACACCCAGGCCCGAGACAATATAAAAAAGTTAGTTTTCCTACATTAACCCAGCTGGGGATCGAAACCAGGATCTCAAGAGATGGCGACACCATGAAGATCGTTGTGCAAGCCACTCGACCACGGAGGTCTATTTAACATAATAGTTGATTTGAATTAACATTGTTATACATAAAGTTAATAATCGCTCGACAGCCGTATCAAAAGTACAAATACTCGGTAATCCTGAACATTCTTTTGAAAATAGAACTGAGCAAAAGTTGATACTTACAAGCACTTTGTTATCGCCAACAGTGTCCTTGATGTACTGGATGCAAGCTTCGCGGCGCGAACGCAGCGTGAACGAACGTGATAGGCCCGCTATGTCGAACAGGAAGTTCGAAAGCATCTGCTTGCCTTTTGGCGTTAGGTCCACCTGAAAATATTAATGAGTGAGTTGTGCACTTGTAGGGTGGCCCATAGCTGTAATTGTATGTATTTCAGTTCAACTTCGACTTTCCACGAAAGCAGCACCTTTCACACAGTTTAAATTTATAGTATAATTAACAAGTTTGTCTTAGTGTGATGTAATTTCATTGCAAGTCAAATAATCTGTATTTCATAGGTAAGACAATTACACTTGAAATCGTTATATTGATTAAACTCTACTGCTCCTTCGTAAGGCAGATTCCCCTGATAAAAATGAGCAAGAAACTCTAGGGGTTGCTTATGAAATTTAAAAACGTGATCATTTTAATTGGTAGAAAAATATTTTGTTTTATTTTTGTTTGTTTTATAATGTATTAAATTTTTGTAGTCACGTAACACTGGCAGGTACAATAATGTAATATGGCATGTATAAGTTTAATTAATTGCCGGAAATAAATAGTTCATGTAGATTATTAGTGTTTTTCTTAATTACAAAATTTTTGTTGTCTTCCATTTTACGACGGACTATGACAATATAATAACATTTAATTTGTTTCAAATTGTTACAATTAGCGCCCAGTCACACGCGGCGACGGCCCAATTACCACAATTTCACGTACGTACTGGCTTAATGGCGAATCTGAATTCTATTTACTAGGCAAAAACATTTAAATTCCTCTGAATAATACAATCGCGCGGTCGCCGCGTCGACCAAAGACAAGCCAGTCTCGCCCACCCGCCAATTTAAGTTAAAACGTAAAAGCTAAACAAATAGTGTATTTTGCCTTGACAGTCAGATGCACGCTGTCTCCGCGCGGCGTGAGCGCGATAAAATACGTGTCAAATAAATGCGCCATTACTATTTTATTTCAATTTTATTAAGTTTGTGAAAGAGCTCGTCCAGGGAAGTACTGCCACATTACGTATTTCAAGCTCCAAGCAGTAATGGTCATATTACTGTGAAGGGTAAGGGTGCTGGTGAAATTACAGGCATATGAGACTTGTCAACTTATGTCTCAGGGTGACGGGCGCAGTGGCGGTGCCCCTAGATTTTTATGATTTAAAGCTCTGAGTAACACTGCAACTGTTATGGGCAGGCGTGTGGCTAACTACCAGGCACACGACTTGTTCGTCCCGTCACTGGGTAAATGAAATGAAAAAATGAAAAAAAAAAAAAAGTTGTTTTTTCAATATTAATTGTTTGTGGTTTTTGTGATTCTTGTTCAATAAAACCGATTTGTTTATTTAGTTAACTGGACATCATCGAAAATCTATGTATATGGTTCTTGTGTTAAAAGTATCGTATATCTAGGTTAATGATTGTTCCAAACATGAGGATGCTTCCGTTGACTCAATGTTAGACTAAAACAAAATTCTTCATTATTTAATATCGGAATCGTGTGTGCTGTCTACTTAAGGAAAAATTACTTCCTTAGTTATTTCTTTATTTATTTGGACTTAAAATTGTTTAATTTTTTTTGTTTTTGGCAATTAATTTTAAAACTACTGTTCACACTTTTTTGAAATAGTTGCTCATCTTGAGTTTTTGAAATGTAATAAACAATTATGAAATGACAAACAAACAAAAATCTCCTTTTTTTGAAGTCGGTTACAAAGTAAACAGTCAAACCTCTGGATGGAATTGCACGCCGTATAGGCGCATTTGCTCGTTGTAGATGGCGGCGATGACGTGGTTCGAGGACTGTGCACCCACGCGGAACCGTTCGCCCACCTTTTGCACACTGTCGCCGTGTGTTAGCAGCACAGGTTGCAGTTTCTCCAGTCGACTGTACAACAACAAGACAAAGGCAAAGATAAACAGAGAAAAAATACTTCAAAACTTAATCCTTTCATTGGGTAACATATAGACATTTATATTTTAATTAAGATAACAAGTATTTGCCCAGCTCTAGGCCTAGGTTAGAATTATAATTTCTTGTTTAATATTATTTCTTTTACAGTATTTGCGCTGTAGCATGGTGCGGGTGACAGATGCCTGTATGACGTTAACATCTGTCAGTACCACATGACTACAAATACTGTAATTTAACATATTTTTATTTAAATTTGTATTGAATTGAAATTCAACTATTTTTTGTGAAATTACTAGTATTATTTCAAACCAAATTTAATTAAAGTTAATAGCGACATCTCTAGCTAGGGCTGATAGCTGTAAAGTTACCTAACTGGGTGACGAAATATTTTCATATATTTCCCATAGGTGGCTAAAAAGTCGTTGAAAACCAAATACAAAGATACGACAAAACAAGCACATGGAAAAATTTGTGAGGTCCGCTAGTTCGTTCCGTGGCATAGTTGGCATAGCGTCTGGCGCGGTTTGCTAGAAGACGTAGGTTCGAAGGAATTTTTTCTAAGTGTTCGATCTTTGTATTATAATAAATAACTTTTATTTTCTTTTTCTAAAATGAAAGCGGCATTATGCTCTGCGATGAGTGTAGCCACCTACGTTTAAGCCCGTTAAAGGGATTGCAGTAGGTAGGTTAGATTTAAGAACCACTGCAAATTATTTTCCTTTGGAAAAAAAGAAAAGTTGTCCTATGGCATTTGAACGCGAATAGAATATCATTTATTTGCTTTAAATAGGGTGAGTACATTATAAATGTTTGTGGTATAAATTGATTGAACTAAAACAAGATAATATCATTATTAAGGATATATGCATTAATTTGGGATCAACCACCTTTATATATGAAAAAACCGTCAATCGAGTAGAATAACTGTTCTAGTAGCCAAGCCCGCAATTCCCTTTTAAATCGAGCCAAACGAAGGGATTTAAATCGATCCGGTATTTTGTTAAAAACTTTTCCACACATTGCATAATAGTTACTTTGGAAACTTTTCGACTTAGAGATTGTGCCAAGTATAAGTTTGTTTGGGTTTCTCAGTTTTCTATCAGTTACATCCGTCGCCTGTACAAATTTTGTTGATTTAACCTTACAAATATACCAACGTCGAGTATGTATAGACATGACAGAGGTAATATTTTAAGTGATTTAAACATGATACATCTGGTGCCAAATTACAGATATATACAATACGTAAACTTCTTGTGGTGTCGATGCTTCTTAAATATTAAAACTTAATTAAATTCTCAGTTACCACCTTGATTTAACTATCTGTGGCAGAGTTAAGATGTTCCCTCGTGGTTATGTTTGGACACGAGGGGCACACCAGTATAACATAAAAAGTGCTTCTGTTGGTGTACACAGGTAACAGCTAGATACGCTAACACACTGCGTAGATTGGCTTTATGTTAACTTATTATTAATATATTACAACTATATATAAGATAGGTTTTAATAATAGAACTCACCTGAACAGCGGGCAAGTCGTTTCAACCTCGACTTCGTACTGTCCATCTTCTCTCGCCTCCTTGCGTAGCACTGAGCCTCCAAACTCCTTATTCAACATCTGCATTCCGTAGCAAATTCCTATGGAAACAAATCAGGGTAATAAATTTTTTAACAAATTTAACATTTCACTAAAGGCGCAACGTATCGGTTACACAACAAAAACAGATGAAAATAAATTTATATCACAAATAAAAACCATCCAAAATCCGATAGAAATAAATGTGGGCCATACAAATATTTTTCACCAGCCCGTGAACCGAATCCGGGACCACTGCGTGGCATTCCAGCATGGTAGCCGTTTGGCCACTGAGGCAGTTGAGTTATAAGTAACATCATTACAATTACGCCCATCGCTAAATGTAGGCATCATGTACTTCGTGCCATCCATCACGATCGTCCCCGCTAGTCTTACTACTCATCTGCGGCCGTGACTTGGACAATGTCATATTACCACTATTACATCATTGTATATCTACCTCTGGGTCACCATTCGATTGTCACTTTACTCCATCCGTCATCACCATACCTCAAAATATTAAAATCAAATTATTACATTTATGATTTTCATTATTCAATCTCATTTGTCTCAAAAACAAAATATTACAAAACAATACCAAGAATAAACAGGAATATATATTATGAAAAGCGTTAGTGGAGGAATTAAGACTACGAATGGAGTTCGGTTGTTTTTGCCTAGTAAAGCGGGAGACAGGCGAGATTTTTTTCTTTTCATGACAGCAAGTGAAGTCTGCCCGTCTCATCCTGAGACATAAGTTGACAAGTCCCATATGCCTGTAATTTTTCTAGCACCCTGACCCTATAAAACCGGAACGCAGTATTCGGAGCATTACTGCTTGGCGGCAGAAATAGGTAAGGTGGCAGTAGTTCCCTGGACGAACTCTGTCACAAGGAACTCCACAGTACGCATGTATGTATGTTGTTCAAAATTAAATTTTATAAACCATCTGTTTTTGCCCACACAATTGCGTTGCTCTGATCCCAAAGTAAGTAGCAAAAGCACTTGAGTTATGGAAATCGAAAACAACGACGGTACCACAAACACCCAGAACCGAGACAATGTAGAAAAGTTAGTTTCCTACACTGACCCGGCCGGGGAACGAACCCGGGACCTCAGAAATGGCGACACCATGAAAGCCGGTGTGGGTCGACCACGGAGGCCGTCAAAGTCAAGGTTACCTCTATAATATTAGAAATAAACAATTATTGTAAATGATAAACATGTGTAAATGTTATTTATAAAGTGCCACCCCTATCACGAAGTTTTCCTATACCACTACAGCAAGAATTAATTTAGAAAATCTATTACTCTCAAATTAATAGGGCTCGAAATTAAAATTTGCAAAATTGCTCGCCCAAAAATCGTTGCCTAAAATTTTGTATGCAATTTTGCTGTAAATTAGATCTCTTAACTTAAGACTTTTAAACTAATTGGTGTATTGCGCTGTTAAATTGGAATTTGAATTATTAAAGGCAATTAAAACAATTACCTTGAAAGCGAATTAGTTACGATTAACCAGTGTTACGCTGTTGCGCAAAAAAATTGCTTTATACAGTATGCAAATAGAATTATTTTTGTTACCAAAAATCAAATTCCAATTCTGCAGTTTACGATTTGTAAAGGTCTTTATGTAATTTCATTAGCAGTGGGCCCGACATGTCTGCAGGAGGGTTGATCAGATTTGTTCTGGAATGGCGACCACGTAAAAGTAAACGTAGTGTGAGACGCCCAGCGGCAAGATGGACGGACGGCCTGAGAAAGGTGGCCGGCAGCGAAGCGGCTCGATGCGGTCAGCACTAGACCGGGAGAGTTGGTGTGCTCAAAGAGAGGCCTATGTCCAGCTGTGGATGCGTGAAAGCTGATGGTGAAATGTCTTTATATCTGCTTGGGATTTCTCATCACAGGGAATACTGGATCACAAGCTGGTGGTACATAGGAACCAACTACTCTAAAATAAGGGTGTTTTTTTTTTACATGAGGCTTGTAGCATTCTGAATAGAAAACGTATTTTTTTGCAAGGCCTGAAGTTTTTAACTGAATGTTAGGTTTATGCATGACATGATCACAGAATGCATTTTTTGGTATACTAAGTATATTTTGAGAGATTATTTTTTATGGCAAGGTATTTTTTGGTTACATACATATAACTTAGCTCGAATTCGTTATTTTTATTTCTTTTTCATATACGAGAGGGTTTAAGGTCATAGTTCGCGATATTAGCAAAGCTTTCCCAATAACGTGATCCCATATTTCTTTTGAGTTGAAGTCAATGTATCTCGGTTGTTCTCGTCCTTGCTATCAAATTATTCTTCGATCAGAATTTTAATGAAAACGTCATGTTAAATAATATGGCCCGTTATACTTTAACTTTAGTTTTTAATTATTTTCAAGATGTTTCTGCTTTCATTCGCTCTTGTTTGTACCCTCTTTTTGGTCACTTTCTCTGTCCAGTTATTTTACACCATTCGCCTTATACACTTCTTAATTTCATCACAAAGGTCGTCAATTATCAGATGTCCTTGTTCGTCAATATCCACGTTTAGCAGCCCTAAGTGACATGCTCTATACGTTTTACAAATTTATTTTTAAGTGATTTTGCTACCTTCGATCTAATATGTTAAGTCATACTTACACCCCATTATAATGGGAACAGTTGGTTTTTTTTGACACACAATGCTGAGTGTCTCTCAGTGCTCTCTCAATGCACACCATTCCTTCCAGGCTTATGCCTTCCTCATCCAATTCTTACCCGCCACTGCGCCAAAGTTCTGCGCATCGGTTGCCTGCCTTCACTTCTGTAGCATTTTCTAGGTCTTCATTCCGGCACCCTTTTACCCCATCTGTGATCTTCGCTACGGCATACGTTGTCTGCCAATTCCATTTTCTGCTGGCTAACACGTTGGCTATGTCGATCAGACTTGTTCTTTTTCAGATATCTATCGATACAGGATCGATCTCGGAGAAAGATACCCAACTCTCTGGATTGATTAGACTACACAAATGAAAATCTTACCTAGTACTGGCAGTCCAATCTTGAATATATCAGCGTCATACCGCGGCGCGTCTTCAGCGTACACTGAATTGGGTCCCCCCGAAACGACGATGGCTCTGTACCCAGCCTCTTTCAGATGGTACGCCGGGGTATCTAGGGGCAAGATGTCTGATTCCACACATAACTCGCGGATACGACGGTCGATAACCTGAAAAACAAATAAATGCAATAGGATTGCAAATGCCGCTAGGTTAGACTTGGACTGACGATAATTATTATTACAAAGCTCTCTTATTTTCCAAGACTGTATGACAGTTTTATCTTCTTTCACAATATATCGATAAAACTGTCGACAAGAACTACATAATTGTCTAAAATTTTACGAAAGCCGACAACACTGCAATCGTCATTGTACTAGGTCTTAAAAAACCTACTTTTGTACTGATATCAGGAATATTGATGTCAACAAATAAAAAACGACACAATACGCGGCCTTGGTTCGTCTGTGATGTTTACAGAGCCTTGAGCGCAGTCGGCAGTAAGTTTAAATTATCGAGAAAGTTTTTGGCGCGGGGAAACCCGCACATCTTAATTTTGCCGTGTGTGGCTCGACTATATTCGATAACGAATAAAACGCCTGTTATCAGTACGTATAGAAGAAATGCCCTTTGCAGTGGCCACATTCCAATAGCTTGTGACTATAAAGTTTATGAAAATGTTTGTTGCATAAATTCCACCGTACTTGACTTTAGTGACAAAATGGTATTTTAGAAGCTTAGGAGAGAAGATACATCTGTATGAGGTACATAATACGAAGCAGGTGTCATCATCATCAACCCATTTATACGACCATCTGCTGGGCACGGGTCTCCTCTCAGGCGAGAGTTTACGCCATAGTCCACTACGCTGACCCAATGCGGGTTGAGGACATCACACGTTTTCCGAGTGTTGTGAACCTTCTTTGACGTGCAGGTTTCATCACGACTAGAGATGCGTTGAGTACAAATTTTACCGAGTAACCGAGTACCGAATATTACTTGGTTTAACATTTGCCGAGCTAAGTACTCGGGCGAGTTACTCGGTTCATTACAACCGGAATGCGATGATCCTAATAATCTCATTGCTCTAGAATTAGACCGATATATCAATGAAAGTTTATCGTCGCGAGAGCAGAGTCCTTTCCAATGGTGGGCACGAGTCTTTTTAAGTGCACCTGCAAGCACTGTGTATAGCGAGCGGTTATTTTCCGAAGCGGGTAATGTGTATGAAGAAAAAAGGAAGTATTACCTGAACGCGCCGAAAGCATTGTATTCCTACATGACAACTTGCCTTTGTTAAATTTAAAATATTAATAATGTAAACTTTCTTTTTAAATTACTACATTGCTACAATTTGTTACAATTGTCTAGAATTTGTAGTAATAAATCTCTTTTGATTATTTTAAATATATTGTTAGTTTTACTTTATTATCAACTTCAACTTTTGTATCTATGGCTCCGTCGTTTTGCGCGATGATTTCGCCAACGTCAGGGTTGAAAGACATGTAGAGTGGTGGTGAGATACATTGCCGGTTATTAAAATGTCTATAGCTGTAATGCTTTATTTTAACCGAGTAACTCTTCTCATGAACCGAGTTATTCGGCCGAGTACGAGTAGTAAAAAAACGGCCGAGTACACAGAGTACCGAGTAGCAAACGAGTGCTCGGCGCATCTCTAATCAAGACGTTTTCCTTCACTGAAAAGCTTATGGTCAATTTAAAATTAAATTTCGCATATAAATTCTGAGATACTCAGAGACGTGCTATCCTGGATTCGAACCTACGGAGTCTGCTTGCGAGGCGACAAGTCAAACCATAAGGCTACCACTGCTCATACGAAGCAGGTGATAATGTGAAAGGGTACCTTTCCATACTGCGATCCTGCGTCGAGTATAGCGACTTTGTCACGCGAGTGCGGCGTGGCAGCGCCCGCGCCCGCGCCTGCGCCGTTGGTGCCACGGAACTGCCCGTCTGCGCTGGCCGTGTGCATGTCGCCTACTCGCCAGCAGCACTGTAACAAATTAACACCTTTATTATTTTTAGCGGCTACGGAGCAATGTGGATGCTTCACCTAAAAATGCTAACAATAAAGCCGAACTGAATCCAATTATACAGAATATGCAAACACCAACTTCAAAAACAGTTACAATAGATTTAATGATTCGACAATCAGAGAGGCTGACATCATTATCCACCTACTGTGGTACTTAAGTAATATAATAATAATAAATATTATTATTATTATTAATACATAATTAAATGTGTGTCAATAGCTGTATAAACAGTTAGTTATACAAAGATCCTTACTCAAAGTCATGTCTTTTAGTCCTTTTAGATTACCTACTACAACTTTATATGAAGAGTGCAAAGTACTTTCTGTAAGGCAACTATTCGTTTTGCAAAGTGTCATGAAACAGCATAAAGTCACCCCATATAACAAAGACAGCTATAATGAGAAGCGCACCCGAACTAATGTGTGTTCTTTCGTTAAATGCCGCACAGCTTGGGCAAGACGACAGCTACTGTTTATGCCTTCATACCTGTACAATAAAACTAATAAAACTCTAAACATATATCCATTACCTGCTTGTGAAGCTAAATTAAAAATTAAGAATTGGATATTAACTTTAGACTACGATGAAACCGAAGCGTTATTGCGGTAGTGGTTTCTGAAGTGTTTATTTATTTTGTTTTGCAAATTTCAATTTTATCACAACACACACACAAACACACACACGCACACACACACACACACACGCACACACGCACACACACACACACACACACACACTATATATATATATATAAACTTTACAATGTGCATGGAAATGTTAAGTTAGATAGTTTACCTACCATATTTTAATCTTTTGTTTGTACCTATTGTAATGAAATAGACTAAATTTGTCAAAATTTGAGAGAGGACACTGCCTCCAGTCACACAGGTTTGTAACCTAGCTCTGGAGTCAGGGACTTCATTATAATGTTGTACTATTTTTGTGACAATAAACATTATTATTATTATTATTATTATTATTAGTTATTTGACTGTGGTGGCAAAAACTTCAATGAAGGCAACATTTTGTAATAGACTTAGTTATTGTTATTTTAAAGCAACGTACGTGACGAACGTAATACATAGAGCTCCCATAGTACAGGGAATCCTAGTTTGGGAGCTGGGCACGACCTTGTCTTGTGGGTCTTTTGTAACAAAGTTATTATTTTCGCACTACTCTTTTTGTATTGTATAATATCAAATTTATGTATTAGGTGTATGACTTTTAAAATCTTAAAAAAGCAATAACGTCCTGAGACTGTCCTTTTCATCTTCAAGTTGGTATTAAAAATCTGAGTAGATGATTATTTGTAAAAATATCCTGTATATAGGAAATGAAACTATTTTTCCAGATTTAAATCGCGTATATTTGTTTTTTCAAACAAACCTACGTTTCAGGCCCTTTACATGTCAACCGTGACCATGGGACCTGTAAAGGGCCCGTTGGTTTGTTTGAAAAAACAAATGCACGCGATTTAAATCCGGAAAAATAGTTTGATTTTTCCTATATACAGGATATTTTTACAAAAACAGTTTTATTTCCTATGTGTAACAATCGCGAAAACCTAAGAACTCGATATATCCTGTACATAATTTCTACTTATGTGTAACGTAAAGGTGGTAGTTCTTATTTATAATGGTTACCATTAAGATTTTTATTAGTTGTATGACTGTTTTGAATAAACTGAAGGCGAAGAAATAGGAATTTAAGTTTGCTTAAATTATTACATACGTAATCTAAATAACATCTATTTCACGCGCGTGTCACTAATTTCGACAGACAAACTGTGGTAAACGAAAGCCAAAAGGGCTAAAGTTATTTGATACTTTCACCTGAGTATGCATTTTGTGGTGAATGATATTTGAAACTTTGATACTTTATAGAATTACTCTTCAAATGGTATATTATACATTACAAATTTCTTTGTTTTTTAAATAGCATACAAATATTCCAGTGGCATTTTGTACAAATAAGATTTTAGTAAGAGATTGGTATGTAAGCCATGTCATACAATCACTCTCCTCCCCACTGACCTGACAGTGAAATTGTACGTAAATAATTTTTTATGTTAGCAAGCTGCTATTTATTACAATAATTTATTAAATGGAAAACGAAACTAGTTTGTCCAACCGTTTATAATATGTACAGTATCAAATCTTGCAGCCTCAAGGTATTATTATTATATTATTTCGGTATCGACATTCCTCAGACACCTATAACGTGATGATTCTAGGCTTTTTCAGGATTTTATTCCATTAACTAAATTTCCCTAAGCCATGAACATAAGAACTATAATCGTTTCAATAACAATAGGGTCATTCCAGCGAAAATGACTCCGAGGTTTAAAAAAATAAATTACACAATTTGGTTTTAATTGTATGACTAGAATACGCCCAATAAATCAAATCATTAGAAATAAATGAGATTTTTCGGATATTGTACAATTATTGTATTTTTTGTCTTCATTAACGCAGCCATAGTGCTGTCGTCTATAGTAAAGCATATTTTCTTATAATGTTAACAACAATTTTCCGGGTTATTTGTGCGTCTCTCTAAAAAAGTTATTAGTGACGAAGAAAATACAATTTACGAATTTTAAAATAGTGATAAGTGATTGAATGGATATATATGGTGATGTGTTATTAAAGTTTCAATAAATACAAATTTAAAGTCCCACCCGTCACAATGAAACATATATATTTTTATTTTAACCAATAAATATGCAATCTATTGGCATTTGCCTTTGTAAAAGTAAAAGGGATTTAGATCCGAAATATAGTTTCATTTCCTATGTCTAACAATCGCGAAAACCTAAGCAATATGTTACAATACTGTTCAGTTTATTTGCATTAATTACCTGGGCTCGAATTAGGGAATTCCATGTACATACAACTATTACCAAACCAACGGGATGATCACTGTGGGTACTACCCAGAACTCCCTAGAGAAACTTTTAAATTAGTTCCAGGCCCGGGACTCTTGTTCTCCATCTGACATTCATCCGAAACAATTACTGTCAAATACATAAGTCATAAAACTCGACTATAGTAAAAGATGTATGATGCGAATGAGGCTTCAAAGTTGACGTTGTTTAATTAGGTCGAGTATTACTTATTTGACAGCAATTGTTTTGGATGGATGTAGAACGAGAGAGGCACAGGGTACCTTCAAGCGCCTGTTTTTTGACTGTAATCGTATCGTCACTCCTCTATATGATATCCTCTCCTTTAAAATCCCCCATCCCGTTAATATCAACTTCCTCTTAACGGTAGTCCACTCTTCCTTTGTCTTTGTCCTGTGTAAGTTAATTAAAAAAATATATTTGTTTCTGTAATAGTCTGTGTATGTACTCTGTTGTTGTAGATTCTCTCCTCAGTGATTTTTTTCGGAATTTACCGGTCAATATTTGAGTTAAAAACGCATGCGTGAGGAACGCATGCATGCAACTTGGCATTGGCGGGTTTACCGATATGGTACATAGTAATTTTTACTTGACATTGGCGAAATCATCGTTTGTTTCGATGGAGCCATAAGCATTTAAAAGAAGAGGAAGAACGAGAGTAAGCCCCCTGATTCCGATGTTCTGGTTTGTGCCCTGAATTTCGTTCCTCAAGACATAATACAAAGAAAATTCCCTACTTTGAGAGTAGGTCAATGGCATGGCTGTCTGGCATTTTTTGTTGAAAGAAAGAAGACCATGACTGAGGACTACATAATATTATTCACGACATTTTACTGACCTATTAACCATTATAAAACAGCATAAACATACAATACCTTTAAAAGAAAACCTTTAAAACCATACATTCCAATAGATGCACCAAATACCATAACACTTCATGAAAACTCTACTACGTAACATTTTCACTATCACAGAACAAAACAATACACAGAAATAACACAATTTCGAATTTAATTAAATGTCTATCTAATAAATGTTAACAAATAAACACTATTTCTGTGAGAGGTGAAAATATTTTGTTGTGATATAAAAAGTCTTCACGAGAGCAAGAAGTTATTTATAGTGTAACATCCCACGTGAAGGGTAAACATACACACAAACATAAATGACGTGTACAACAGAGTGTGGAACCAAGTTTATAGTGTATTTTGTTTAGTGATTTTGTTTTCTTACAATGCTAGATCACATTGTTAAATATTTTTTACATCCTGCAATGACATACTTTAAAATGATAACAAAATAAACTGAAAATCTGTATTTATATATTAATGGAGCTTTGTTTACGAACAAAAAAAGTATACGCAAGACAAAACAAATCCAATTTATAAAGGGAAAAAGGTACAGCTTATGCCTAAAGGTTACTTCGATCTGACTGTAGGCCAATAGATTCTTTAAGGAGTCATGTTGAGGTGTACAAAACATGCAAAGATGTTTACATAAAGTTCTAGGAAGTAATATGCAGAGTGAATAACACCTCTCTCCCAGAATTATTGTACGTATTTTGTATGTTTAACTAGCAATTACTTTACTACTTTTGTGTATTAAGAAGAAAAAAACTGACTTCAAAAGTTTGTTGGCTACCGGAAAGTGCGAGAAACCGGTTTCGTCCTCTAGTTTGCCACTCTCAGAGATGGAATATGTTATGTTATGTTGAATATGTGTTACTGAGGTACCCTCTTTCTAACAAAATAAGAATCACCAAAATAGTTTCACAGATTATGAGTCGAAGTTATTGCATAACATGCATAAAAAAATTCTGTTGAATTGAAAACCTCCTCCATTTTTTGAAGTCTGTTAAAAGTTCTGTGATTGTGAGTAAAATTTAACTATTTTGCCTTTTATATTTAATCATTCCAGGATTTCAGGAGGCATTATAATGTCCAACATAAAGCTTAGGTAAATATACTCTGCTTACTCTGAGTTTTCATTATAACAAAACAAACCAATCTCTCTGGGACAACTTTCATTCAAGTTTATTTATTTTTTTATTAAAATGTCAATACCCTGGTAAGTACAGACTTATTACATTATGATTGATGTCATAAAATATAATTTATAGTAGAATAGATACAATATCTAATCTAAAATGATTTGGAAAACGTTGACCAATTTAAAAAGTAGTAGATATAAAATACTTTGATTTTGAAGACTTGTAATTGTTTACTAAGTAATGAGTATGAACTGAAACACCTAGTCAGGGTGCAGCCATATATGGAGCATCCTCTGGCACACCACATGCAATAGGTAGTTCATTGATTGCAGAAATGGTAACTTGGGTTGTCTTGCATGTGCAGTTTTACATCCATTACTGTTTTTATGACGAGCATGACATTGATCTATTAAGTTATGTAACAAATATAACAAAGGAAATTAAAAAGTTGTACTTGTTTACCAAACAATATTGCATTCAGCATATTTTGAATGATATTATTTATCTATAGAAAAACAGAATAAAAGATTTGTTAAAAATATAAAATACTAACAGGCATTAAAGAATCAGGGTTCACAAGAAATGAGAGTTTGTGTTTATGGTTTTAAAATCCTAATAGCTCATACAAACTACACACTAATTGTGTTGCTGAAAAGGGGCAAAGTATCCCATGAAATTGCATCAATTTAAACACCAATGTTAAAAGGTGTTAATTGACATTTTGAAAAACGAATTTTCAGCAAATTCTCATGAGTTGGTTGAAACAATGAATGAGAATTAAAGAATATAAAATAGGTACCAGTGGAACAATATCCTTTGAAAAGCCTTTGACTAACAATGTTAGTAACAATATTTAGCTAAATGAAAAAAAGATAGAATGGTGTCTTCTATTTGTTATTGATTATCAAATATAATGAAAACTATAGAAAGGCTGAATACATAAGTAATTTTTTTTTATAATACAGTATGGTTATAGTCCATCTGTTTAGGTACTTAAATAAATGTAAACAATCTTGAGATGTCTATTTAATGAAATATATATTTATAAAATGATTTTCCCTTACCTTCAAATACAAAATACTTAGCTTCATATGAAATTGCATGCCTATTTTTATACCTATTGATTTGTACAGCATGTGTTTCAATAAAAATATGTATCCAGATTGTTTACATTTAGTTAAGTACCTAAAATTTTATTATTTAATATTAATAAATTTGTTTCTATAGTCCATTTGACTATAGAAACAAATTTATTAATATTAAATATAAATGTTTTTAAAGAGAGAAAATACTGTTGTTTTTTATAGCAAAATTTAAGAATAACATAATAATTTTAAAATTAACAAAAGTATAAATTTAATTTACAATAACTATGTTAAATAAATTATGAGCAGCTGATGTGCTTTCAAATAAAACTTTTTATTACAAATTTAACATAATTAATGTTGAAATTGAAAATAAATTATATTCAATAAAGAAAAAAACAAACAGGATATACACACGATAGTTCCACACACGAGTTATCGCCGCGACAAGTTCGAACAATGTGGGGTCTGCTTACAACAATTTACAGGTTATGTGTGACGAAAAACATGGTCAGCTTTATGATAACACAAAAATTTAAACAAACCTTGAAACTTATGTACATGACCCCTTAAATCTAATTCGATAACACTTTAACCTAATAAAACCCCAAACTTACACAGTATGACGACAATACCAACAAAGGCTACATACCTTCCTCAGCACAAAAAACATATTGGAATAATGCAAAAAAACAATACCAGTGTATCATTTTTTGTAAGAATTAAGATTCTACAGATCCGTTGATAACATATCAGATAATATGATAAAATCAAACATTTTTTTTTCATTTCTACGAGAATAGAACCAAGTTCAAACCGGGAGATTACGCTTCTCATTTGAATATACTTACGAGAAAAGTCACCTGCCGGAATTAAATTAGTATTTAGTTTTTTCACTCTCTCATCATTGATAGAGGTTTTTAAGAATTGTTTTGGGCGTAATGAAAAGATACTGCTGACTAAAACCGGGCTTTGACATTAGTTTTTGGGTCATTGTGAGTGAGAGACATTATGTACGGCAGTCACTGTTACTCTTGCAATTAAACGAATAACGGTCCTGGGGAGTAAATAAACAAATTTTCGCACTTACCTAAAACACTATATTCAAGAATTCAGGAGAAAATATTCATGAAAAACACGAAAAAATGTGATTCTCCATTCAGCACTACGAATACAAAATTTTAGTACTGACATTGGTCGCAAGGTGGCTTGTGGTTAGTTTACGGCTGTCAATGCGTTCGTATAATAGTTTTATGTAAATAGAAATTATTTCGTTTGAGCTATTCACAATTTTCTTACTGGTGTTGTAATGAAGCTATATTAGAAGTAACAAAAATCTGAGAATGGTTAGTTTGTGGATTCTTTTTTAATGTGTTTTCTTTCTTCATATTTCATACATTCACATTTTAAGAATTTAATGAATGCATTCATAGCTTTTGCTTGTCATCATTGATACGATCCATTACACTCTTCTATTTTCGACGAGTTAGTTTTCTTAACTTTAATTAACGACATATTCATATAGTAGTTTCAAGAAAAGATAAGAATGATGGTAACACTTCAAGTTATTTGAGTGATAATTTCAATTTTTTACGATTTATTTATTTTTCTCTAGCTAATTATTTTTACATATTATTTTTTAATTTGATGAAATTGTATTGTAACTGTTCATGTGCGTAAACCGAAACACATTGCTTTTTGTGAATAGCGATTGTGTTTAATTTTGGGCATTTATTTTAGAATTTAATTGATCAAATACGTTAAGATGCCAGACCATTTAGGAGATGATATGCGAAAAGTGAAAGATGATAAAGAGGAGCCGGAAAAAGAAATAAAATGTGAGTATTTTGCCTTCGATTTAATCACTAATCTTTCCTGATGTTAGTCTGAGAAAAATGCATTACTGTGTAAATAAACCAAGCCATAAACACTGAAATTTCTTTTACAGCGCTCGATGAAGGCGACATAGCATTATTAAAGTCCTATGTAAGTAGAAAAATTAAATAACCTACATTTAAAAAAATGTCATGACTGGCATATTTTGAGGAGATTTTTTACCCTTTTTGTATATTGTAGGGCCAAGGCCAGTATACTAAAATCATCAAGGAGGTGGAGGATGGTATCCAGACTGTCATGAAGAGAGTAAATGAACTGACTGGTATAAAGGAGTCTGATACAGGCTTGGCCCCTCCTGCTTTGTGGGATTTGGCTGCAGATAAACAGACTTTACAAAATGAACAGCCTTTACAGGTAAATGATTTTTAATAGGTACTAACCAGTACATACTGTCTAAGAGTTTTGTTAAAATCATTGAGTATATATAACCAGAAATAGAGACATAATAAGGGCCATCCATCCCTGGCAACTCTGGAAGCACATTGGCCTTGTATCACTTTTAAATATCAACTTTTGTTTGCACTGAAATCACAAATTAGAAAGCTGATATAGTACACCCCTAACAACTGACTTGTGTGGATGTCTCCATATATTCCAAAAATATTCTGTATAACTATGGGGGGCTGTTCCATTTGGTGGTGTGGGAAAAACAGCAAAACATCTAATTATAAAACAAACCACATTTCGTTGGTAATTAACTAATATGAAATTTTTAAATTTTCATCCATTATGGCAAAGCTCAAGTTAAACTGGTTATTTTGAAGTGAAACAATTGATGACACCCGTCAATTGTTTCAAATTCAGGCTGGCCAATCGGTGCACAGCTGTCACTGTAATGATATGGCAGAATAGTTTTCAAACAAATTAAATAACATTTTGTCTCTATTGCTGGTTATATACTCTATGGTTAAAATATAAATCAAAATTTATTCAAAATAACAATTGGCACTAAGAGATTGACTTACTTGCATGGTATACATATAGCTATAAGTATCAGCCCACAGATTAATGGCGTCCATTGTATTGGTGATAACAATTATATTTGATTGGTTTTTAAGGTGGCAAGATGCACAAAGATCATAAATGCAGATTCCAATGACCCAAAGTACATCATTAACGTTAAGCAGTTTGCCAAATTCGTGGTTGACTTAGCTGACTCTGTTGCTCCAACTGATATTGAAGAGGGTATGAGGGTTGGGTAAGTTATATCTGTTAATGTTTAAAAATAAGTAATTTATTTAGTCATTGAAACAATTACACCGCTCAGTAAATGCATTTATGTCTGACATTGATGACTTTCTACAACAATAATGACGACGACAACTGCCTCCATGGCCGAACGGTTACCATGCCAGACTGCCATGCAGAGGTCAAAAAATTCAATTCCCGGGTCGGGAGAAATATTTGTATGGCCTACATTTATTTCTCTCGTGAGTTTGGGTGTAATTTGTGGTAGTCCATGTGTGTGTTCATGGCACCTGCGACACAGGGTTTCCCTAGTGCTGAGCTATATTGAGTGTGTGCGTTATTATTATTATTACTTTGATAACCTTATTTATGGCTCTGTTCCGGATGATTCCGGATTAAATCCTGACAAAACCAATTTATTAAATAAATTTCTCAAGTTTCTCACTTATTTTGGGTAATTTCAGGTTGTAAAAATAACATTATTTTGTATTAATTGAATTATATTTAACCTTTTAACTGCCGTCACTTGATATTATAAAAAAAAATGTAACTTATGTATCAGAAGGTGTACTGTTGAGTGTAAGCATTCTGATCATGTCAGTGGAATGCTTGAACTCATAAATAACCTGTATCTTTGACGATTCTTACTTAAGGGTCGCTTTGTTTATTAGCCTGATAATTATTTAATACATTAAAAAAAAACAGAGGGTAAAGAAAGAAAGCTGCTTTGAAGAAGGGCAGATTTCTGATACAACTCTCTAATAGTAAACTGATCACTGAGCATTTCACCTTGCTTGCATTGAGATAGCAATCAGGGTATACTCTGACCTATATGTACACTGCTAAACAGGCATATGAAATGTGTTGGCAGATTGAGATGAACTAATATTCTTTTCAATGCAGTGTTGGTGATGAGAGCCAAAATTCTGTACTTCTATGTGGTCCAAGTGCTGTAGATCATAATATAAACTAAATAAAAAATATTTTTATAAACAAACTCGTACCGTCTATGGGTCACCTCAATGCATCCCATTCGGTAAGATTGTGGCCAAGCATGTACCTAATCTACATTAAAAAAGGTAACCCAACATAGTGACAGATGATGAAAGTCGAAATTTACGGTCTTTGTTTGGACTAGATTTGTGTCATATTCATTCTAGTCATGAGAATCTAGTTTACGGTGTTTAATTCTGTGTTGTTTGACTCAGTACTTTGGTTAGTGGCACTGACAAAAGACCAAATAACCTGTGTCGTCACGCAAAACTTAACAGTTCAGGAAAATTGATCTGATCAAAATAGGATTTTTAATTTTTTTTTAATGTACATTTTAAGGTTACCGTGGTTATTGACTATATGATTATCACTAGTTATATACAGCAAAATTACTTTTCTACCGATGGTCATTGCTTCACTGGCAGCTTAGTAGACAGTAGACAGGTTGAAGAGCAGAATATATGTATCTTTCTAATCTCGTCAGCTGTCGACCAATATACGAGCCTGTAGTGCTCGGATGTAGGGAGAAAACTAAAAAGTTATGCCCTTGAAAGAAACCTATGGTAATCTACTTGAATGTAAACCCGATAAAATTATTTACAGTGTGGATCGTAACAAGTATCAAATCCATATACCCCTACCGCCAAAGATCGACCCAACTGTCACCATGATGCAAGTGGAAGAAAAGCCTGACGTCACCTACAGTGACGTTGGAGGATGCAAGGAACAAATTGAGAAGCTCAGAGAAGTCGTAGAGACTCCACTACTTCACGTAAGTTCTTTTCTTTTATTAGGGTTCTGTACCTCGAAAAATCATTAGACTATGTAATACATACTTACACATACTGAAGCGCTGAAGATCTCAAGATCTCGGACACAGCGGTACTGAACTCCTCAATCAGATATCACTAATACCAGTTTTGCAGAATAAGATCAGAATAAGATGGGATGTTCTATTACAGACGCATGATGATGATGTTGTGAGAGATAACTTATCGTGAACAAAATTAAATATCATTGTATCATTGTTACAGCCCGAGAAATTCGTAAAACTAGGTATTGAACCTCCTAAAGGGGTGCTACTGTTCGGCCCTCCTGGTACAGGCAAGACACTGTGCGCTCGCGCTGTGGCCAATCGCACTGACGCTTGCTTTATTAGAGTAATTGGTAAGTACATATTTTTATCATTATTTCACGGTTTCCTTACATAGGGACTGCTTTTTTTTACTCTCAAAAGTTAAAATAAATACGAGAGTGTACAAAGCATAATTTTTTAAGAATTACTAAAATGAATTTATATCTTACTAACGTACTTAAAATTTTGTCGAAAATGAATTATTAATTACATTTCACAACATAAGCAAATATCTGAATAGATTTTTTTCTTTCCAAATTGTAGGTAACTTACATTCTTTCGTGCTTAAGTGCTAGTAGTAGTATTGGTTGATAAATGGTTTTTACGATATTTTTCTACAATTGGGGAGTAAAGAAAGATTGCTGATCGTAAGTTTCGACAGCGGTCTGATACGCCTCCCCTATAGCAAGTAGGGCAATGAACAAGTCTGTTAATTTCAGCTTTTTGACGGATCTACATGTTGCTCTACATTTGTTTTCTATCGAGTTTTTAGGTTTTAGAGATTACTACACATTGAAAATGAACTACTTTTGTGGATCTAAAGTCTGTATGAGATTTTCTATCAAACCAACATTTCGTCTTGTATACAGGTCCCATACTGGTATCAATTAGTGTCACCTGTACCACTAAAGGTATAAATGGTGGCTTAGTAACAAATAATGGTACAATTGGTCCGCAGGGTCAAGTCTCACTTGCATTTGAAAAAATACTTTCATTTCCAATTTGTTTTGTACATCGATGGCTTTCTAAAATTGTGATCTGTCTCAAAAGCATCTAATTCATCACGAAGATGATATAAAAAAACTTAAACGTGTCTGCTGTGCAAAATTAGCATGTCGTAGATCATCCCAACGTTGTCATGTGATTATTTTAACCAATGAAAAGCTCGGTGTCCTATTCCTTACAAAATTTAGTATTTTCTGAACAAATCTCTATAATGACTAAATAAGGAACTACTTTGGACTGAACAAAAAATAAGTGAAAAACAGCGATATGTTAAAGTGTAAGGAAGCGGTTACAAACGAGTTTAAATTTTACGTGGTTCTATAATATCTTTGTCTTGATCATTTATATACACGTTTAGTTGTATAGTTACACGGTTTTGTTAATCGCGGTAACGGAATACAGGACTGTCTCCATTTGGCCTGACGGGAGCAGTCCATGGTTCAAGTAGTAAATTCAAATTCAAATTCAAATTCAAAATAATCTTTATTTCATAGGTAAGCATTATTACACTTGAAATCGTCACAATGGTTAAACTCTTCCGCTCATTCGTAAGGCAGATTCCCCTGAGAAGAATGAGCAAGAAACTCTAGGGGTTGCTCTTTGTAAATAACATTTACAATATTTTTTTATTTGAAACATCAGATTGAGACTACCTCCATGAGCTAAACGGGTTACTACCACGGATTTTTGTCATCCAAGTACGCAGAAGTTGTATAATAACCTTTAGTATAAAGTTTTTGTTTCACTATAGTTTTAAACCTCGTGAAAGGTAAATTTTGTATATCAACCGGAATCTTGTTATAGAAGCGTATACATTGCCCCTTAAATGATTGTTTGACTTTGTGAAGACGACTATCAAGAAAAGCTAGTTTATTTTTATTCCTCGTATTAATGTTATGTCTGTCACTATTTTTCATAAAGAAATTACTATTCCTTTTAACATAAATTATATTTTCATAAATGTATTGTGAGGCTAGTGTAAGAATGTTAATTTCCTTAAACTTATCTCTCAAAGATACTTTGGGGCCCAGATTGTAAATTGCCCTAACTACACGTTTCTGCAGGACAAAGATTCTATTGATATCGGCGGCATTACCCCAAAGCAAAATGCCGTATGTCATTAGACTGTGAAAGTAGCTGAAGTAAACCAATCTAGCGGTTTCGACGTCTGAAAGTTTCCTTATTTTTTTAATCGCGTACACTGCAGAGCTGAGCCGTTTTGACAACTTACTTATATGGGGACCCCATTGCAATTTAGCATCTAACGTTATACCTAGAAATACAACTGTATCCACAAGATTCAATTTTTCGTTTCTAACTACAATGTTTGTAACCGTCTCTCTAACATTGGGTAATGTAAATTTCACACAATTTGTTTTTTTCTCATTAAGAAGTAGGTTATTAACAGCAAACCAATCAACTTTAGATATAGCATTGTTCACATCGTCATAGGAACATTGGTGCCTTTTAACTTTAAATAATAAGGAAGTATCATCAGCAAACAATACTATCTCATGTTTTATACCCTCCATAAGGCTAGGTAAATCATTAATATAAACTAAAAACAAAAATGGGCCTAGAATTGAACCTTGAGGGACACCCATGCTAATTACAGACCCTGATGATCTCGTACCGTTAACATCGACCCTCTGTACCCTACCACGCAAATACGATTTAAGAAGGTCGAGATCACGTCCCGCCACACCATAATGGCGAAGTTTCCTGACCAGTGTATCATGGTGCACACAATCAAAAGCCTTGGAAAGGTCACAGAATACACCAATAGCATCATGTGAGACTTCCCATGCATCAAATATATGATTAATCAACTCTACACCAGCGTCGGTTGTAGAGCGACCCCGAGTGAAACCAAATTGTTTAGGAGACATTAAATTATTACTATAAAAATGTGCACACATCTGATTTAGAATAATTTTTTCAAATATTTTACTGAGAGTTAGAGTAGTATTGATATAGGTCTGAAATTGGTGGGGTCAGAAATACTACCAGATTTGAAAAGTGGAATAACTTTACTTTGCTTCATGAGGTCAGGAAAGACACCATCATCAACACATTTATTAAAGACACAGGCTAAGTAAGGCGCAATACAATCAACTATAGAACTAATTCCTCTGACTGAAAGACCATCAAGATCAGCAGTATTTTTTATATTTATAGACTTAAAGGCTTTAACAATATCGTTTGGAAATACATGACGGAACCTTAAATTAGTGATACTAACTGCATTATTTTCTTTTAGTAAGGATTCAGCGGCTGTGGGAGATGAATTTAACGAATTAGTAGTCAAAATTGGAATGTCGGTAAAAAAAATTACTTGTATGGAACCGTTTCCGAGCGAGATTGTTACACTTTGTTGTTTGATGCTCAGTCAAGACACCTCATAATAGTAAAGCGAATACTTTTTAATATAATATTTTCCTTATTTTTCCTCAAAATAAACCATAGTTTATTGGAATATGTACGAAACGTTTTCTTATCTTGAATAATTTGCAATTTTTCTTTTTTGGTTGTAATTACTAATTTTGTGACAATATAGCACACCAACTTCGCCACGGAAACAACTCAAAAAAATACCAAATATGGCCATTCAATATGTGTGTCGTTCACTTTAAAAGTGAATTATCTCCTTGTAATTAAATTGTGTCACTTCATTTTTATAATGAATATTTAGCAGTTTTAGTTCCATGAATAAACAAGTAACGCTTTCTATGAAGTTTAAGTGCATTTACTAGAGTTACTTCCCTTTTTTAATGAAGGATATGATTAAATGTGATACCAATAAGAAAATTTTGAAAATATGGAGTTACACTACTTTTACAGTGATCGACACATGTAATGGTTATGTTTTCGATTAAATACCCTACCGATCCCTCGTCCCAAGTGGTAGTAGCTAACTTCAGACAGTATAATGATGCCGTATTATTTCCAATTTTTTATCGAGAAGTAGTCGAGTTTCTGTCACAAAAAAATTAAATAATTTTGACTTGTTGAAGCCGGCATGAGATATAAATTAAAAGACCGTGTTAACAATGTTTGATTGACACACACTTCAACTACTACAAAGTACATCGAGTACGTAACCAGAAATAGAGATGAAATAAGGGCCATAAATTACAGGCAACTTATCAGTGATACATCACTTATACATATCAACTCTCGTTTGCACTGAAATATAGACAGCGCCAACAGCTGACATGTGTGTACGTCTCCGTATATTCCAAAAATATTCTGTATTTATAGTAATAAAGATAATATCTCTAACAATGGCGTGCTGTTCCATCGGTGGTGTGGGGAAAAACAGCAAAACATCTATTTACAAAACAAACAGAATCAAATTTCATCGGTAGTTAAATATGTAATTTTGCAATTTTTGGCCATTATAGCAAAGCTCAAGTTAACTGGTCGATTTGAAGTGAAACAATTGACGACACTCATTGATGACACCCGTCAATTGTTTCGAATTCGGATTGGCCAATCGGAGCGCAGTTGTCACAGTAATGACACGGCAGAATAGTTTGCAAACAAATTAAATGACATTTCGTCTCTATTTCTGGTTGAATACTCGATGACAAAGTACAATCACATCAAACTACATTTGTACTTACAGTTTTTTTCTTTTAGGTTCTGAGTTAGTGCAGAAATATGTAGGTGAGGGTGCGCGTATGGTACGTGAGCTCTTTGAAATGGCGCGAAGCAAGAAGGCCTGCCTAATATTCTTTGATGAAATTGACGCCATTGGTGGCGCTCGGTAAGATATCCTTTCGTATTGTTCTATTTCGTTCCATAGTTTTTGGACATTCAAACGATTTTAACGTGTAAACTCTTTAAAATAAGATTAAAAGTCACCGTAACGGACGAGCTCGATCAACGTACGTTTTTTCACGTTAAAGCCGTATAAAAATTTTATGCGCACCGTGTACGAGAAACCGTGAAATCGGAAACTTTCTACTCTCCATGTTTAAGGTCATAGTGTACCAAAAACAAGAGTAAAACTCCCAGAAGTTCCACCAATTTAGTGCTGGATGTTTATTATAAAAGATTTGGTGCCAGTACGATTATCACCAACCCATTTATACCTCCCACTGGTCCAATGAGGGTTGTGAACCTTGTTCGACGTGCAGGTTTCCTAACGATGTTTTCCTTTACCTATAAGCTCATGGTAAATTTCAAATTGAATTTCGCACATAAATTCCGAGAACTCAGAGGTACGTGACTGGAATCGAAATCACGGTGCCTGCTTGAGAGGCGGTAACCCACACTATTTGGCTACCACGGCTTCTGCTACGGCATATCTTTGAATAAAAATAATCTCAGTACACAGTATTCAAAAACTGACCTCAAAAGTACGTGGAATTACATCTATTTGCTAATCGGTTACCGGAAAGCGTGCGTAATCGGATTCGTCCCCCTTAGAGGTGCAATATTATTCAAATAATTTTCTTCAAATTTAAATGGGATCAATACTGAGGTAACCTATTTCCAACAAAAGAAGAATCATCAAAATCGGTTCATAAGTGCCTTGGGAGTTATCGCGTAACATGCATACAAAAAAAATACAGTCTTTTTAACCGACTTGAAAGTCGGTAAAAGAGGTTAAAACACTGAAAATATTTACTACGTGCAAAATATTGACTGACAAGTAGGAAAGCAAATAGACGGCCTTTTTTCAAAGTCTTATCAAGTAAACTAGTCAAGAAAATAGTTATTTTTTGCTGATGGAACCCCAAAAAAAAGATTCTTTTGACGCATTTTTGTTTTACTATGTACACTCGGGAATCCGTTGGATGCAAGCATCACAAGAACGGTCGTTGTGGAATTTTAGTAGCAGTAGAGCCTCCTTGTGAATGTGGTCGTCCGGAGAAGTACCGCCACCTTATCTATTTCTGCCGCCAAGCAGTAATGTCAGCATTACTGTTTTCCGGTTTTGAAGGTAAGGGTGCTGGTGAAATTGCAGGCACATGGGACTTGTCAATTTATGTCTCAGGGTGATGGGTGCAGTGGCAGTGCGCCTCAGATCTTTGCGATTTAAAGAACAGAATGGCACTACAACTGTTATGGACAGGCGTCTGGCTTACTATGGCGCACGACTTGTTCGTCCCGTCACTTGATATTATAAAAAAATCTTTGGGAGAGGCCTATATTCAGCAGTGGACGCCTTTCGGCTGAAATGGTGGTGATGATGATGTGTACACGGGAGTTTTACTCCAGTATTCAGTCATTAAGATCTATTTAAACGATAAGATAATAGAAATTGTCCAATTTTATAGTTTTTACGTACACTGCTTTAGCGGTGGTGTGTTGAACGTTTCTTTCTTTTTTTAAATGTGTCAGGTGGAGCTCGTCTTAAATTAAAATTACTACTCAATATTTAATCAATACCCTGTATTATTTTGAGTTTCACATTCTTTAAATTTGTTTACTTGCTTTCAGGTTTGACGATGGCGCTGGTGGCGATAACGAGGTACAGAGAACTATGTTGGAGCTCATTAACCAGCTTGACGGTTTCGATCCTCGTGGCAACATCAAGGTAAGGAAAATATATTTTTTAAGTTTCAACAGATTCCATTATTTTAAATGTTGTTTTGTAACACGAAAATGAAAGAAAAAGCTAATAAAAGTACGCAATTGTATGGCATTAAATAAGTGGCATATTGTGTCAAATTAAAATATTTATTCACAAAGACAATACTGTATTTTGCATATAAGTAAGTTGTAATGTTTAATTTTATTGAATGTCACGGTTGTTTGACCACCATGATGTTCAATATTTTTGTGACATTACTCCACTAGTTTGTTATAATTATTAACACAAAGATCGAACACTTGGAAAAAAATCCTTCGATCCGGCTGGATTCAAACCAACGTCTTTCAGCAAACCGTGCTAGATGATATGCCAACTATAAGCAAGTTAATTACGAGAAATACAAACCTAAAATATATAGATATAGTATGATCATGACTTGTTTAGAAAATTAACATTATAATTTAAATTTGAATTCATTTTTTTTAACTCTTATTATTTAGGGGCTTTGAACATGTCAGCACCATAAAAAAATACTTAAGATAATCCGAACCGATAAATCAAAATTCTACCTAACCAAACATATATACAAATCTTCACTGCACTAATTGTTAGCTCAGGCAAAACGGATTGAAACCACTCTATTTGAATCTATAAATTCGTTGATTCTGTTTAGTTTTATTTTTTACGTGAATGCAGCCATTGCCAAGTCAGATTTGTTGTACATCGATGCAAACGCGCGACTGCATCGATACAAACGCGACTGCATCGATACAAACGCGCGATTGTATCACATGCACAATATTTTGTTTAGTCAATTGTAAATTGAAAAATGAAATTAGTTAATACATTAAATAAATTAATAAATGAATTAATTTAAAGCGTGCATCGCTACTGCATCGCTGATAAAGTCACATCGGCAAAATGATAACTTTTCTAGAGAAAGGCTTAAAGATTCTACGAACGAAATTAGTCGTCAATATTTTTGTGCTTAAATAGGACAGTTATAAAATTCCACATATGTATATGTAATGTGTTTCATGTAGTTCGTATTAATTTTTTGACTTTTTCTTTTGACGTATAATCACATGTAGTTTTATATCTAGGTTACGAATTAATTTAATTTTTCTTCTCAGGTCCTCATGGCAACCAACAGACCCGACACCCTGGACCCGGCCCTGATGCGACCAGGTCGTCTTGACCGCAAGGTGGAGTTCGGTCTACCCGACTTGGAAGGGCGGGCGCACATCTTCCGCATTCACGCAAGATCTATGAGCGTCGAGAGAGATATTCGGTTCGATCTGCTGGCTAGATTGTGCCCTAATTCTACTGGTGCTGAGATTAGGTAGGTTTTAGAGTCCACGTAAAATATATTTATTTATGACTGCAGGTTTCTTCCCTGAACGCTATAACTTGGGCCTTTCCAAGGCGAGAGTGAATAGACATTATTTAGGTGTGCGTGCTCCATCGAGTACCTTATCGTCAATTTTCATCCTATAGTCCTACCGGGATCGAACTTCGGGACCGGGTGGTTCTTTATCTTTTCAGATGTTTCAACAACAGTTACTTTGACACGTAGTCGACATTGCCTTTTATTTTTTTTTAAATTTAACTGCCTCCGTAGCCGAACGGTTACCATACTGGACTGACATGCAGAGGCCCTGGCTTCGATTCCCAGGTCGGGAGAAATATGTGTATGACCTAGATTTATTTTTCTCGTGAGTTTGGGTGTAATTTGTGGTTGTCTATGTGTGTGTCCATGGCACCCGCTATACAGGGTTTCCCTAGTGCGGGACTATGAGTGTGTTGCGTTATTATTATTATTAATGACCTATTCGACACATATATACTTTTATACACACAGTGACAAATTTAGCGGAACAAAAAAGTGGGAATATAAAACGTAGTAACGTTTACGTGTTTAAATAAATAAGAATTACATATAAAGTAGCTATTAAATTTACAACTACTTAGCACAGCCTTCTTCAAATTTCATGGGAAAAAAATGGAAATTAAACAAAATGCATTTTTTTAAACAGCTGGGAATTTTAAAATTGTAACAATTTAACATCGATTAAATGAAACTTTAATGAACGAGAAATCTTTTTCAAGTACACTTTACGAAATTTACAAGAACGCAATATGAACTTCACACCACTCGACAAAACTGTATTCATAGAAAATTAAAGCAAACGAACGAAAAATTACCCTTGGCAATTTTTTTATTTTGAAATTAGAACTAAAATATAAAAAATAAATATAGCCGACTAGACCTTTCAAAATTCACTGCATTATTTTAAAGCTTATATTAGTGTTCCGTTAAATGTCCCGGTGTGTGTAATTTCTTGGTTCAATCAAACGTTTCGTATTTCCCAGGTCGGTATGCACAGAAGCGGGCATGTTCGCAATCCGCGCGCGACGCAAGGTGGCTACCGAAAAGGACTTCCTAGAGGCCGTTAACAAAGTCATCAAGTCCTACGCGAAGTTCTCAGCGACGCCCAGATACATGACCTACAATTAGTTCATTATAACAGATGTAAAATTATTAGAATTATAAAATTTACTTGTATGCCTTTTGGTAATAAAATAAATTTAACACCAATAAATAGTTTGTTTTCATAATTGCGAATTAAAAGAACACAATTAAGAGCGATGCCATACGATGCGTTGAGTCGACGTTGCGTCGTGACGCCGCGTCGTCGGCGTCGTCTGTATTATATACAACTCAGCCCCTGTAGCATGGCTACGCATGATAGTCGCGACGCGTGCGATAAACTTGAAATAGGCGCGCGCTATTGGCTATCTAAATTAGATCTGATTAGAAAATACCAGTAGTTCTATCAACAGAACTAATGAGAATAATTGGACAGAATTGACAGAACTACTGGGGGCCTACCATAAACTTTCAAAAAATAATCGTATTTCGATGTAAGCTTACTAAATTATTACTCATATTCGTACCATGACAATCCTGTCAACCAAGCCCAAGTAATCAAGTAATGTATTATTGCTAAAGTGACTGAAAGAACAAATGATTTCCCTTTTTTTTCCATCCTCTAAGGATTTCCCAATATTGTCTATTCCTTACTAAAAATAGGAAAGAAATAACGCTTTAAGAACTATATAATGCCACCTCTTTCTTTTTTGGTGTTGCGTATCGTCCTATCGTAGTATAATGTTAAAGTACTTAATATTATTTACATTCAGAGAATTTAAACTGCCAAAAAAAGAAAAGTATGTAATAATGAAATCTAATAAAATTACGTTGTTTTCAATTATTTTTCCGCATTTTCATGAAGAAAAATAAACAAAACGAGCCGAGTCTTGATTGTCACGTTGTAAATTCGGAACTAGTCTAGTGTCAACTGTTATTTTCGCCAAGGAGCATATAGATGGCGCTGTTATAATTTTACGAAATAAACATCGCGTATTTTTATTTAACGAGAAATTATTTCCTATGTGCTATTAAATAAAAAATAAACAAAATATTGAAGAGATATATGTAAATAAATAAGTCAACTTAACTTTTAATCCTTACAAATCAATATTAAGACAATAAAACTGAAAATAATATTGTTTTCATTGCATCAGTGTAACTATTTTAAGTTTGCTAAATTTGACCTAAGAGCAATATTACTTTAACGTTAAAGTCGCGTCATAGTCCAAATATCATATTTTTAACAAATTAAGCTTCCAAAAAAAATGGCGGGTTTTAGTAGTTACATTTTTTACACGAATTGATTTTTAATTCATGTATGTATATCATAGATGTAAATTACGTTGTGCGTTTCTTGATTATTTGTTACCATTAAGCTGATGGCTCTGAAGCCAATGCTTTATAAATAAATAATAATAATAACAACTTTTTAATAATGGTACGAAAGAAATCAAAGTAAGGTTAAAGTAATATTGTTTTAAGAGGTTGTGGGTGGCCCCCTGGGAATCGTAAATCCTATCTCTGTTAACAGAACAAATGAGAAGAAAAGTACCAATAGTTCTGTCAACAAAACTGTACAACAGAAGTAGTGGAAATAATAGGTGGCATCGCTCTAAATCATTCAAAAGTTCGACAGAGTTCAAACCATGTTCAAACCCAAACTCCAATTAAAATAATTTCACGTAAATCGTCACATTGAATAAACTCGGCTACTCATTGTTAAGGCGATTCCTCTGAGAAGAATGAGTAAGAAACTACGGATTGCTGTTGGTAAATAAACATTTGTGTACGTTTATCATTAACCGACTTAAAAAAAGGAGGAGGTTCTCAATTCGACTGTATTTTTTTTGTATGTGTGTTACGCGATTTCTCCACATTTGTGAACCGATTCCGATGATTCTATTTTTGTTGGAATGAGAGTAGCTAAATATTTGCTCCCATTTAAATTTGAAGGAAATATTTTACTCCAAATGTAGTAAACTAGGGTACGAATCCGGTTTCGCGCACTTTCCGGTAACCGATTCCAATAAAACTTGGCAAAATAGATGTAATTCTAAAAATTTATTTGAAGACTATAAGCGCCGGCGCTAACCTATGTAACGCCCGAGTGCAATAAATACCCTGGCGTTCTCCATTAGGCACGCAGTAAATAATAATAAATAAATATTAGACAACATCACATACTTTTTTCCGATCCCAAAATAAGTAACTAAAGTACTTGTTTTATGGAAATCGGAAACGGCGACGGTACCACAAACATCCAGACCCGAGACAACTAAGAAAAATTTTCTGCATCGACCAGGCCGGGGATCGTACCCGGGACTTTAGAGTTGACAACACCATAAAAGCCGTCGTCTACGCAATCAAAATGGAATACCTATTTGCAGTTATATTTTCCCAAATTGTACAATTATAAAATGATATTAGGAAGCATTAACCCGTTTAATTCGCTCTTTGGATGGAGGCGTCGCGAGCGACTCTCGTGTCCCCATAACACCCGTATGCGCCCCACAGTTTACATCCGGCAAAACCGGCCTGGGCGCTATCCATTTTACGAAATAAAGATAGAGCTATGCATGGTCGTCAATAATACTGCTTACATAACTCTTATAAAAACGACCGACTTTAAAAGTTCGTGGAATTACCATCAGTTGGCCAAGTTTTATAGAAATCTGTTACAGGAAAGTGCGTGAAACCGGATTCATCTTCTGGTTTGCCACCCTTAGAGGTGGAATATTTTGTTCGAATTTAAATGGGATCAATACTGAGGTGTCTGGAAAACTAAGAAAACTATCTGGAAAACAGGGAGGGTAATGTACGTGCCCCCCGGGGTGGCTCACCCGCGGCTGAGCCTGTAGAGAACCGGATGAAGTCTAGTGACAGAGGTCTGTGATAACCCTGTACACTGGCTGATCTGGGGTCAGAACCTGAACTTATGAGGTTTCTGTGTGAGGTTATAGTGCCCTTCTCGTATACCCTAAGGGTCGGTAGGAAGGGTCACTACGTACAATAAAACTATTTTAGAAAGATATGGGGCTGCTACATTTAGTACCAGCAGTCAGCAGTTATGTAAGCTTTACTGAGTATCGGTTTTCAAGGGTAAGGGTGCTGGTGAATTACAGACACATGAGACTAGTCAACTTATGTCTCAGGGTGCCAGGCGCAGTGACAGTGTCCCTTAGATCTTTGCGATTTAAAGCTCGGAGTGGCACTGCAACTACTATGAACAGGCGTGACGTTTAACGCCAGGCGCATGACTTGTTCGACCCTCTTTCCAACAAAAAATGAATCATCAAAATCGTTTCACAAATGCCGCCGGAGTTACCGCGTAACATACATACAAAAAATATACAGACGAATTGAGAACCTACTCCTTTTTTTTTGAAGTCGGTTAAAATTTCAATGACAGGTCAATGATGACAATTAATATTTTATATTGAATCTTTTTACACAATAAGCACAAGGGCACAAAGTAGTGACATTTTTGTGTGCGGTACTGTCATGAAAGGGTTAAGTTAATATTTTTAGTGGTACGTCTAAATAAATAGTTTTTTTAAAGTAGCCATTTGTGGGTAGTCACAAATAAACCTGTCCATTAAGTAAAATTATATAAATTCTGTTTTAACTTCTTATTAGCGTTTGACGTAATTATTTCAACTTTTACTGTTAATTTATTAGATTTATTGAGTGTTAGTTGTTGTTTGTTTAGTTTTTACTGATTACCATTGTGCGAAAGCATTATGTCACAAACGGTAAGTTACTCCAACTTTGTCACCATTATATATATTTAATAAAATAATAAATCATTGAAGTCAAGCAAATAGAAAAGTAATTGGTAAAAACTTTATTATTGATTTAAACAGCAATATTAACAATCGAGTTGTGTTTTCGCGATTGGTAGATATTGGAAAATTAACCTTTTGACCGTAGATAGACGCTTTAAAGCGTCAATGAAATCAAGTGTTATATCGACTCATCCAAAGAACAGAGCCCGATCTGACTGTACAGCGAAAATAGAATAAATACAGGTGTTTTCAGAATTTTTATATCACATTGCGTTTCTGAAATATAAAATCGAACAACAGTCAACCTGATTGCCACAGCGAAGAACAACGAACGAAATGTACAATGTCCTGAGAATAAGCAGTCTTGCACATAGGTTTTTGTTCTCTGGATGAGTCGACATGTATATTCTAGTTAAGTATGGATTCATAGTGGCAATTTAAGTTCAGTTATGTTTTTCTTTACCTTAGGGGAATCGAATTAATATAAACTTAAAATTCATAACATATCACATCACTCGACTTGACGTCTAGGAAACAAATCTAGTATTTGTCAGTGGCGGTCAAAAGGTTAAACTATTTTTAATCGACTTGTAAAAGGGAGGAGGTCTCAATTCGTCGGAATTTTTTTTTGTATGTTACATACACTATTACTCCGACATTTGGGAACAGATGTCGATGATTTATGTTTTGTTGAAAAGGGGGTATCTCAGTATTGTTGCTATTTCTAATAGGCAGTGGTAAATTGTTCCAACATTTTCGGAATAATAAAAACACAAAATCCCTCATATCTTTCTGACAAACTTAAGTTTTCACAACGCCACATAAGAACGGCTTCTCGTTTAGTTTGCCCTAGACACAACACTTCTGCATTTCGTGGCAGTTTCCGTTATGCTGCCACGAAATGCTGGAACAATATACCCCCTCCAATCAGGAACTCTAATAATGTTTATTCTTTTAAAAAAAACTATAGATTTTATTTAACAGAATTGCAAAAAACACATAAGAAATATTAGATGTATCATTTGTGTATAAGTGGATTTTGTATGTATATGTGGCCTAATTCGGTTATACTTTTTGCAATCAGTTCCAACTTTATAGTTAGGAAATAAGTAGTTTTTTCTTTTCTTTTATATATAATTAAGTTTGTTTGATAGTTGAATGGTGTTTGCATACATAACATAATATTATCAATTAATTATAAATAAATTATAAATAAATTAACAATAGGTATAGATATAGTTAAGCATCACACATTTTGTCGCATCATAAATTAATTGTACGCATATTGCGAATTTAAGTAAGTCAATGTTTTTGTAGTATTAGTTTAGTGCGCCTGTGACGCACTCCCTGGGCTCCGCATAATACCAGCGACGTGGCTGTTCTCAGCCACGGCACATGCTGAGCGGTGCCCATTCAGTATCAGTAATTTTAGTTTTAATTTATTTTTATGTACATACAATTTAAGGGTACTGAATAAATGTTTCTTTCTTTCTTAACATTTCGAGGTAGCATAGCGAAAACTACCACGAAAATTGGCCGCACAGTGTCGAGAGCAAACAGGCGAGGTGCATGGATGAGGACTTGAGTTTGTCATACAAGTACGATGGTTGCTTGGTCTTAATAACCCCAAATAGCAATACAGCAAAATGTAACTGGCGACGGGCTTCCATCTTCAATAAACTCGCATCATTCAGAAAAGGAGTGACGTATGCGTTCGACACGGAACAGGGAAACAACACCTGGCACACGCGCTCTGTAAAAGCTGAACAAGATTTCTTGTGCGAGCAAGAAGACAGCCGCTACACACGACATAGTGTCAACAATGGTTACATAGTTAATGAAAGCCTTACCGATAATGATGATATTCAGTGAGAAATGATAGCATTTGCAGTGCGTGGTAATATCGCATCCCAGCTGTAATAAGGCCACTAGAGTTTTCAGGATACAGGTTTAAAGATTCTACGACGAACGAAATTACTCGTTAACTCTTCTATGCTGAAATATGAGTTATACAATTTCATACACATATACAGGCACATGGGACTTTTCAACTTATGTCTCAGGGTGATGGGCGCAGGGGCAAAGCACCTCAGATCTTAGCGATTTAAAGCTCTGAGTGGCACTGCAACTGTTTGTAGTAACTTCAAATTCCTATGACATTGGCTAAAACTTCCGTGATTTTTTCCAGGATTCGTACACCGACGTTGTGGAGTTGTGTGCCATACTTGAGTGCTTAGGTTTCACCATCAAGTCGTTGGACACCAGTGGCGATGCGAATACGACCCAGGATGGGGGTACAAGGACCGTCGTTATTAATTGCCCGGTTTGTATTAATTTTACTAATTAAGGTACATTATGCACATTCTTACACACAAAGATAAAGATAATAATGATTTATTTATTTATTCAATATAACTTAATCTACTACAATAGGTACAAGTAAAACAAATGTAAATAAAGCTCTTAGGTTTTCGCGATTGTTACACATAGGAAATGAAACTATTTTTCCGCATTTAAATCGCGTATATTTGTTTTTTCAAACTAACCGACGTTTCGGGCGCTTTATAGGTCCCATGGTCACGGCTGGCAGTCAACCGTGACCATGGGACCAGGAAGCGCTTTTGGGCGCATGTTTCTAATGAGAAAGAAAGCCTTTCCGAGCTAGTGACGTGAAAACTATTTTTTAAGATATTATTATCATAATTTGTTACTTATTTATTACTTTCGTACACAAATTCAATTTGCCTATTTAAGCTATACTATGAACATTTCAATTGTGTGTACAATATGGCAGGATGCCCTGTGTCGTCCAATCATACTTCAGCGCGGTAACAACGCAACCAATGACATTAATACGCGCTCACGTGTCTATTTTCGCTCTCGACCAATCACACGTCAGCGCGGCGACAACATTTCTTTCTTTCATATAGGATACAGGATTTTCTTAGTGCGAGGTTATGAGTGTGTACGTTATTATTATGATTACTTATTATTTTAGACTTCAGGACTTCATGTAATCCTGGAAAGTGCATGTATACCTTGTACATGCCCCACAGCCAATGACCAGAATAAAGATTTTTGGCAGGTCTCTGGAATTGCTGGTGGGAAGCCACAGAATAAGGTATGATTTATACATTTTAAGACTATCTTGGTTGTTAAATTTCTCCTCCTCGATTCCGTATTCCTCACCACTGAGGGTGATGACTCCTCCGCAGAAACAGTTTCAGCATGACGACGCTGTGTCGTCTAAAAACTTCTAAAAACTTATTAAGTACCTAATTACTATAAAAAATAACTTGTTTTAGGAAACGGGCAGTAAACTTCTCGGATCTCTGCCAAAAGCATACCGCGAGAGATTGTCCAAAGAACTTCAGGATATGGTTCGCTCTATAAAAGAGCACAATGATTCTGATTTTGACAGACCTTCTGTAAACAGGTCTGCAAGTGTTGTAGAGTTGTGTAATAAGTCTGCAAGTATAGTGGACTTGGTGAAGGAAGGAATTAATAAATCTGCTAGTATGATCGAACTGGGGTCACCGGAAAAGAGGTAAGCATTAAAATAAAACTTAGGCCTTACGTCTATTGTATAAGGTTTGTATCGCGTTGAAGAAACCAAAATTGCTCAAACGATTTTTTTTTATTATTAAGATCGAAAGACATAGACAATGTTTTTAGACCCGATGGGACTTGAACCCGCGACCTTACTGCACCGTAGTATTGCTCTTACCAACTGAGCTACGGGTGACCGATAGTACCGAATGGGGGTCAAGTTATCTAGTTGTCGAAATCTCCTATGTAAGATCTTTGTACTTAATTTTTCGGCATTCTGAACCGCTAGTGACATCTAGTGAGAGATTTTAGAATCGCATCGGAGCGAAAAAGTTTTCTATGTATTCGATTTTTGTATCTCACTCAGAGTTTTAAATCGCAAAGATCTGAGGGGTGCCACCCTTATAGTTTCCATAGTCTAAGGTGCCACCGCGCTCGTCACCCTGAGACATAAGTTGACAAGTTCCATATGCCTGTAATTTCACCAAAAATTTATTTTTTATTAAGATGTATTTAGATGAATAAAGTTCGTCCAGTGCCTATCCTCACAATTGAGTTGATTTATCATCAAAAATGATACTGAAATTGGAATAAATATAAATCACACCCTTAGTGAAAAAAGGACACAACTGCAAAATTGGCAACTTTCCGGGAAAAATGTTTAGTGATTCTACGAACCAAATTAGTCGATAACTTTTTATGCTTAATTAGGAGAGTTGTAAAATTTCACATACTTATACATAATTTATTTTATGTACTTTTGTATTATTTTTATGATTTTCATGTCATAAAAACACTTGACGTATGTGATGTGACTTTATTATACCAAAGTTACGAAATATGTTAAGTTTATTATTATTTTTATAATATATCACGGAGAGTGTGCGTGCGATGGTGATAAATGGTTCATTCAAATTTTGCGCAATTCTCTGGAAAAATTATACAAATTTTTTCAGACAATTGTGGTTGACCTATCTATGTCTTATAAGTATATGCATGAGGCATATTTTACAACAACAACATTATTAGCGTTAATTCAATTACTCAAAGAAAGACTTAACGAATTAACATGCAACATTCTATCGCACACTGTCCGTGACATGTCTTCTACAGTACCGATATATAGGAACATTTTATGGCGATGTTCAAGGCTCTACAGCTTCGCGTCTACTAAATCCGAGTCACCTATAAGTCTCTTGTCACGCTGTATTAATGTATAAGAAAAATATCTGCTACAGAGCATCAATCGGCAAAAGCACGATACTCGCGTTGCTAAAAATTTCGATTAAGGTAGTTTACAACATGTTTTCACGAATAGATGAATAATTAAAGAAAAAAACAACCTATCAAAATACTATGTATACCTGCCAAAATAAAATTCTATAGATAGATGTATTGCTTCATTTTTTTAGAATACAGCACTTAAAAGTCGATACTCCGACCCGATATCGTTCTCTGGACACGTTGACGGCAGCAAAGGAGGGTCTTCTCCAGGCTCGACTGTACCAGCAAGTTGCTAACCATGAAAAGGGAGACGACAAGGTAAGACTTATGTTACCTACTGAACAATCATGAGGTTATCTATAGAGAGAAAGATTTTGAGCTATACCACAAATGAATAATAAATGTTAAATAACATCAATACGTTGTTTCCAAAGTAAGTACCTAACTAAAGCCTTTGTGTTATGGAAATCGGAAACAACGACGTTAGCACAAACACCCAGATCTATATAGATTATATAGATAAATACTTTTTGTACATTGACCCGGCCGGGGATCGAAACCGCGACTTTAGAGATGGCGACTTTATGAATACCGATGTGCAAGTCACTCGACCACGGAGGTCGTCAAAATGCAATACCATAATCTTCATATTGATGTTTTCTGTATAATATCAAGTGGACGTGACGAATAATTCGTACGCCTAATGGGAAGCTACTCGCCTGTTCATAACAGTTGCAGTGCCACTCAGAGCTTCAAATTGCAAAGATCTTAGGGGCACTGCCACTGCGCCCGTCACCCTGAGACATAAGTTGATAAGTCGCATGTGCCTGTAATTGTACCAGCACAGTCCCGTCGGTGTAAAGTGCCATTGAAGCATTATTTTGCAGCCTGGTTTTCGGCCGTTGTATTGCTGAGTAGTGCTGCTGAAGTACTTTTTTGCAGTCTTTTTTTGGATCGTTCGCTTGCTGAGGGGAATGTTCAAAGGTTGTTTGAAAATGATTAATGTTATTAACTTCATTTGAGCTCAGTCTCTTTCTCTTTCGTTATCGGAAAGGAAACGACTGAAGATTTAATTTCAGATTAGAGCTGTCAAATGTGTGTGTAATTTATATGTAGGTACAATCTGTTTGAAATTTAAGATGCAGTCTATGTGCGTTATTTCTCTCTGATAGCCCAAGAAACCGAAGAGCTGAACTTCTGTTTAGTTTTTGATTTTTAACTATTCATCCATTACTTTGATTTAAATTTTCACAATTTTCACACATTATTTGGTTTTTAATTCGGGACTTAATCACGTATAAAACATATTTTAATTACCTCGACATTTCGGACGTATTGCAACGCCCATGGTCTCGAATCATGGTCCCTTCGTAATAATATTCATCCATTTACAGGATAGTTTCCTAGCTCATAGACAGAGTACGTATACAATTAGCACACCTGGCAGTGTGAGGAGGCGTAACAAAACATCGAGGTAAGATTTTTAAACTTTTGTTTACTTAAATTTGTATTGAATTTATAATCAATTATTTATTGCAAAATTACTTCACTAGTTTGTTGTAATTATTAATATAAAGATCGAACACTTCATAGATTTCTTACATATGGCGCTACGCGTAAAAAAACGTCGTTGAAAACCAAATACAAAGATCCGACAACAAGCACATAGAAAAGTTCGTGAGGTCCACTGCTTCGTTCCGTGGCTTATTTGGCATAGCGTCTGCCACGGCGCGTCGGTTCGAATCCGGCCGGATCGAAGGAATTTTTGTTTACTTTTTAGAGAACTTGTATTTCTTTGATAACTGTTAATATAATAACTGCATTGGAGTGCCGACGTCGCTCCCGGAAGTCTTCTTTTTTGGGGGAGCTTGGGTGGCACGAGTAGGATCCTACACCCACCACAGGCAAAGGCGCTCGGACGTGGAGTTGCAGACAACAGCCCGTAACACTATATCATAGTTTCCCAAAGTGGTCCTAAAGAGTCCTAGCGGCGGCGGTAGGGGCCTAAAAAACCACCATCTATATAAGCTACACTTTATATACTTTTTTTCCTGGTGGTTAATATAAAAAATACATGTTGTCAATTGTTTTGTGATGGTGAGCGTTGAAATTTTTTTTATTTTGCCTAAGTGGGCGGTCAGCCATAAATTTTGAGAACCTATGCACTATATCATACCATAAAATAACTGTAGGGGTTGCATCACTTACCACAATGTGATACAAAGTCGGCGCCGTAATTTAACAGCGTAATTTTCAGTTACAAATTAATTCAATTTTTGTTTGGACTTGTGATTTGGAAGTAAAACTTTTGTGTGATGAGAAAAGCTTTTTTTTAAAAAAGACTCTCTTTTAAAAAAGACTCTCTTGACTCACCCCGTAACAAAACGCTTTACTGGTACAAAAAAAGGATACCTACATAATTTTCATGGGATTCGGTAACAGTTACGAAATCTTTGTAACTAATGTTTCGGTAGTTTGCGATGGTAAAAAACCCATATAAATTAAACGCTTGTAGAAACGCTGCAGTGGCGCGGCAGCTGCACGTCTGTAACGCTTCAGTAATTTTTAACCGGCTTCAAAAAAGGAGGACGTACTCAATTCGACTGTATTTTTTTGTATGTATGTTACGCGATAACTTTGGAATTTGTGAACCGATTTTGATGATTCTTTTTTGTCGGAAAAATGGTACCTTAGTATTGGTCCCATCGTCGGTTTCGCGCAGTTTCCGGTAACCGATTTCAATAAAACCTGGCAAATAGATGTAATTCCACGAACTATTGAGGTCGGTTTCATTTTTATAAAAAAGTTACAATTGTTAGTTCAATAGTTGTGACTGCGACAGTGACGTGCGCTTATCACAACAGTGGCGCTGCAACTGCGCTAGTGAATTATAAATATTGTATCAAAATTAGTAGGGGCGCTGCAACCTTTCTATAAGCGTCTAAGGCACCTAAGATTGGCAGGTTGTCTTCAAAAACCGTACGTGATTTAAATTAAACGTGTGACGCGAATACAACTAAAGTTATCTTAATTTTTCAGTCCCATCCATTCAACCGCATCAAATCTGCTGGACAGTTTAATCGCCGCCGAAAAAGCGGCAGAAGAACTACGCAACAAACTCGCTCGTCTTATTAAAGAATTTATGGACGAGGAAAAAAATGATTCCTCGATGTCCTCTTTGGTGTTGGACGTGTCTAAAATTTCTGTTTTAAAGGTATGTAGGTACATTTTGTGCTATTAAGAAAAGTCAATATCGTTTGAAAGAAGTAATACTTCTTTAATATTAAGTATGCGGCCAATACGTACATATTATTATTGCTATTATTCTAAGTCGGCCATCATAAATAATTAATCTATATGGTAATGGTGTACATTTTATGAAATTGACTGTACGCAGCTTACCTAAGCATCAAGTTATTAAAGCAACTAAAAAAACTGGAAAAAATTGTAATCATTTGCCTTTACAGGGTCTAGAAACATCTAAAACTCAGTTTGCATCGAGCCCAAATCTCTCAAGTTTGGTTGCTCGTGACGATTTGCCCAAAAGCAAATTGAAGCGATTTGAAAGCGTCTCTACATCCAATTTGGGTCCAAAAGCAATTTCAGACAAGACATCGAAGTTTAATCGTATTACTCCGAATTTGCTCAAAAATAAAGACTCCAGTCTTAAAGGTCAGAAAGTTTTAGACGGAAAAAGCAAGCTGCAAAGTAAGTGTAATTTAGTTTACTCATAAAGCTCGATGTCAATATTACAATAAATGATCGGCCCGCCACTGCTAGTCTTTGGAAACTGGTTTTTTAAGGATGTATATGTTACTTGTTCCAGGTTTATTTAAAGCAAAAATTGCGACTCCAGTTCGCATACCTAACGTAAAACCAGAAGGGAGTCCAAATCTTAGTGCCTCCAAGAAAAAGTTTAGTCATGTGAAGTCCACTATACCAAGACCAACTTCAAAGAAAGATTAGATTTAACCATTTTTTTAATTAAAAAACGTGTTCCAAGTATATCCGACCATGTTATCCTAATAAACAACACAATGAGATAGCATATTGTCACTTCTATTTTGTGCCTACAAATAAAATTAAGACCTCCCATTATAACACTTTAGTACGTGGTTAAAAATCATTTTACCTACAACGTCACTGATCTGATATATCACTTGGACTATATGTTTTCATTAACCTTTCAACTTCTCTCTCTAAATTCTCAGTCCTTTTGTCAATAGTTTTTTTCTTTATTTTCGATGATGATCTAAGAGGCTCCCGGTCTTTCTTTCTGTCTCTTGTGGTCTTCGGATCAAAATGATGTTTGCACCTTTGTACGATATTAGGATATAATAGAACATTTCTTAACAATTCTTCTCTGGCACTATTTCTAGAAGAGTCTCCTGTCCCTGCGTCATTAACAAGTTTTCTATCTTTTGGTTTTTTGGTGTATCTTTCTGATACATAAACGTTTTCTATACTATCGTCGTCGTCACTTACGTCAGATTTACTTTCTGGTTTTGATTGATCGTTGATGATTTTCTCTAAACTTTTCTTTGTCAGATCTTTGAGTGTTTGTCTTTTTTTGTTTCTTTGTGTTTGTCTCCTCTCCTTTTCTGCTAACTTTAAGCAAATCGTTGCTTTCGGGTAACCAGTGAATTGTTGGTAGCAGTGACCCTTTTCTAATGATATAAAGCTATTGAAGAACTTTCTTGGGTGTATCTCGTCAGGTGTTTCATTTACCAAGACGTAAATTTTTTTGAGGAATGCTTTTTTGCAAATAGGATTTTGCATATGATAGAAATGTTCAATTTGTTCATGGCTTTGTAGTTTTTTGATGGCATTTTTCTGCACAATGCTGTAGGCCACAACGGCCATCAGGATAAAAGCCGGTTCGTTACTCAGAATATGGTCCCAAAGAATTAACCACTCCGAGCAAGTTAAAATTTCGCTGAATGCCGTCTCCAGTATTTTTAAAGCGTAAACTTGACTCGTAACGCCGATCGCACAGAAATGATTCAGGAGTTCAGGATCATGCTCCCCAAGTATATTTTCTATCATGGACAAAATACTGATTGGTGGAAAAGGCGCGTATTCAAACCACAGTTGGCAAAAGTTGAAAAGCACTGTCGCCACGCACTCGAATAACAAAAGTGGATCTTTCTGTAAAACTTTCACAAACGGAAATACAAATCCTGGTAGAAACTTCATCACTCCAAATAATGGACACCAATGCGCTAGACATGAAAGTAACCTTTTCAAATTTTTAAGTGTAGTAGAACTATGTATGGTGAACTGTTTCTCAATGTCTTTGTACACAGGATGTATACCTTTATCTACTAAAGAAGAATAAGCATCTCTGTTTCTTGGCGTATTGAGAAGTGATCTCCAAATTATCGATCTGAACTTGTCAGGGTATTCACCGTATTCCATTAGAATTCTTCTTAACCGTGCGCTGTCCATACATATTCTCATTTTATGCTCAATTTCAGTTTTTAGAGGTGTTTCTATTGGCATACATTTATGTGCCGAAGTACTAGGTAGGTCGTTTTTGGGCTGATCACATGTATTGTTGGAAGCCAAGTCCATAACATACGACGTGTTGTAAATATTAACTTCTCCTAATTGTAAAATGCACAAGAAATATTTGCCCGTAGGACTTACAACAAATTTTCTAATGCCTGATGATTCGTTACGTATGCTGTGTAAAACAGTCATTGATTCTAAGTCTAGCATGTAAAGGACACAGTCACTGCTCAAAATTGCTAGAATTTTGTTTGCACCACCATCAAAAACCTGTGGCACGAATGCCACTTGTTGTGCTCCAGATATATCATATTTTGACAGATCTATTGATTTCAGTCCTTTCCAAGTGTCCATGCTGAAGAGAATCAACGTGGCTGTTAGACCTGCTATTGCCATTGCTCTACCATTCATCGTAAATGCGACATTCTTTACGTGTTTCAATTCATTTGGTATGATTTGTTTGACAGATTTCATACTCTCGTGCTTCCAAATCTGTATAGTGTCGTTTTGAAAACAAGCTACGAGATATTCGCCACCAGGAGCAAATGTGATCTGTTGTATATGAGCTCCCAGGTAGGTGTTAAGAGTAAAATACTTGGTGTAATTATTTTGTTCCCATAAAATTGCTTCCACGGTGCTTGCTGTTAGTAAATTATTTGATTTGTTGTTTGAAAAAGAAATGTTCTTAACTGGCGCTGTGTGACCCGTCAGAGTAAGTGATATGTTCCCAGTTTCAATATCTAGGAAGTTTACAGCGAATTTCTTGGCTGCAGCTACTACTAGCATGTCTACGCGGCTTGGTACAAAATGTAACGCAGTGCATGGGCCGGTGACACTGGTGAGTTTCCAAAATTTCAGATCGGAAAAGTCTAAGATGAACAAGTTACCAACGTTATCGGCGCATGCTAGTTTTTCGTGCAGATCGTCGAAAGTACTGGAGGAAAATCTTATCCTTCGACACACCCCGTTCGACCCTCGCACTGTATGATGAAGCTGCAGGATGACACCATCTTTCGGTTTCGATTTTAGTTTGATATCAAACTTTTCGAGCGTCTCGTGGCTTCTTTTTATTACTTTTTCCATTTAAGTGTAACTATTACTTCAGTAGGTGCAGAAATATTTTAATTTTAACAATTTACACATTGTGCACACTTTTGTGTATTTAAGAATTAAATACACAATTCTGTTGCGAAAAATATTTAAAATTTGGCGGAGTCAACACAAAAAGCAGGATAACGTCATTCAGCCAACCATCTTTGTCACCATGACAACTAGTTGTCAACAAACAAAACGCCAAACAAACGTAACGTTCTGATTTAGGCAGCACGTTTTCAATCTTGAATTTACTATATTACATAAATCTAATTTTCTAGTAGCCTCAGTAGGTTTTATTTTATTTATGTAGATAACGTACAATACTTCTGGAAGACCTGATGTGTAAAATATTTTTGGCATAACATTTTTCTACAAAACATAATAATCTGCATGAAACGTAAGATATGAATATTAGCTTTTTTATTTAAGTAATTAACTTAGAGAAAAAATCTTTTAGTAATCAATAGTTTATATCGAATTACTCCCTCATTAATTGTAGATTTTGGCTTAACATTTGCATACTTAAACTCAGTATCTACTTTGCCTCCTTTAGTGCCTTGCCGATCCTCGTTCACCCATCCCTTAGAGATAAATAAAAATAACAGTTATTGATTAAAACATTGTACACTAAAACACGTCTGAATACATATTATTAACTCAACATTAGAATACAAAGTAGAGTCGTTTACCTTCGCAAACAGCGCTATTAGCTTGTAGTGGGTAAAATGGAGCGTTGGCTACGGCTCATGACCCTGATTATTTTCAGTCGTGCCGTATTTTCTCCGTAACGTTCCGTTTTTTCACCTCTCGGGGAAATGCGAGTTAATTTGACGTAAAGCGATTATGGCGGTTGCGCGGTCCGCGACCGCGCGCCGGCGCAGTGTCTGCGGCGGCTGCGGACACGGCGCGCGCGCTTCCACGCACCTTGTCGATTACACTTTATCACCGATCGCCAAAGCGACCGCGATATTTCAAATGACAGAATATGCACGCTCCGCAAATTTCATTGTAAACTTTTACTGAAAAGTTTATCCAATGAAAATCTGCGCAGCGAAAAAATCTCGCTCGTGCTGAAAAATCGTGCGGACGGGAAATCGTTGTAATATTGCACGGAATTCCTCACTAACGAAGCGATGGACAGTAAAATGGGTTTTCTCTGAGATTCCTCGGCGTGTCCGGAGGCTAGTGCTGCATATGCCTACCTACCGCCTGGTGGAGAGCGCCAACGCGTTCGCTCAGGTTCTGACTCGGTTTAAAATGTGTTTCCTTAACGTCCTGCGCCTTCACGTGTCTCAAACGCAACGGCAGAAGCGCTTGTACAAGCAGTACATGGAGCAGTTGGCTGGTGCGTACGTGGAGCGGTGCACGGACTTGAATACGATGCACTGGGACCCGAGATATACATTTCGTGTGGGTACTCCGGACTGGAGGTACTCTATGTCGTGTGACGACGTCTCGTGTGAGTCGGAGGCGTCGCAGTCCTGCTGGTGCTCAGAGTGCGACAGTGGCAGGTGTTCCTCGCCCTGCTGCTCCGAGGTGATTTTCAATGGCGGGCAGCACGTCAGTGGGAAGATAGTGAGTCAGCATGTTTGCCGGCGATTCCCTGTCTGCTATCCCGGACATTTTGGGTGAGTGTAAACTGAGTACAAACACTTTGTAATTAATATTTTGTGGTATATTGTTTCATATTACAAATTGGTATTAATTAAATATTATTTTTTCTTAGTTTATTGCGAATCGATTCTATAGCCTCTACAAAACTACGTACTTGCAGTGTTGAACGATTTACATATGTACTCTACGTGTGAATCTATAATTTATATAATGACTCTATCTTCAGTGCATAACACAGTAACACTGCAAAGATCTCCCAAATTATTATTGCATTTAAAAATGGCATCATACTGTCCATTTTTATTACTATTCTTATAGTTTACAATTTTCTCGTCCGCATTGATAACTTTGTAATATCTACAGTAAGATACAATGTTCTCAAGCATAGATAACATAGAAAAACTTCCTCCAGTCAACTGTAACTATGTTCATAGTAATGTAAATTGCTCTATGGGAACTGTATTTTAACCTTTACAATTGTAAGTTTTTATTGCGCAATTGTTTTAAATTCCTCTTTTATTGTCGATATAAGTAGTTAAAACGACAGCTACCAAGATGGAAATATTTTGGGGCGGCGTAATTATTATATTATATTCGGCAAGCAATACAATAACTTTATATTTCATTTTTTTTTATTTATTAAGGCTTTGGCAAAGCCATCAGCCTAAACATGAAGTTTAATTATGTTTCTGTAAATATGGCCGCCACAAAGAGAACAGGCAATTCGAGGCGGCGTGCTTGGATTGACTCGGGATTCCTTAAAACAGGCCGATACGGGTATTCTAGTTCGAGATTCGTATAATTTCGCGTTTTAATCTTCGATTAAGGCACAATAGCACTATCCTATTCCACTTTAAACTAGATTTCACAAAATAATTGAAAGTCAAAATAATAACGACACTTTTCACTCCAAAAGGTCCAGAGCGAATCCTTTACATTTCATTTCATTATAAAAATAAAATAAAATACGTTACAGAGGACTAGGAAATAATGATGTTCTGCCACAGCTAACATAACACTTATAAACAAACAAACAAAATAAAACAAACTAAAACACACATGCCGGAGCAAAAACGAGAATTTAAATACAAAGATCGAACACACAGTAAAATGTCGTCGACCCGGTGGGACTTGAAACCACGTCCATGCTGCATCGTAGCATTGCTCTAACCATTTGAGGCACGGATCCGAGTCCCACCGGGTCGACGAATTTTTTCTGTGTTCCATCTTTGTATTCATAATCGTAACAAAACTAGAGAAGTATTAATTATTAATGCAATGATCGAACACTCAGAAAAAATTCCTTCGTGTTGGCCGGGTTCTAACCGACGTCTTCGAGCATACCGTGCCAAACGCTATACCAACTAAGCTACGGAACGAACCAGCTGACCAATTTTTCTGTGTGTTTTGTTGTCGTGTATTTGGTTTTTTCAATGACTTTTTAGCCGTAGCGCCATCTATGAGAAATCGTAAGTATTTCGTCACGCAGATGAATACCTTTACAGCTACCAGCCCTGGCTAGAGATGTCGCTATTCATTGTATTTTAAATTTTTATTGAATTGATATTCAATTATTTTTTATGTGACATTACTAGAGAAGTGATTTCACCAAAAAATCTCAATAAATAAATTTGAATACAATGAAATGAAACTATTTTTTGAAATATAAGTAGCGTATTTTTGTTTTCTAAACAAAACAACGTTTCGTGTTCTTAACAGGTCATCATTTAAGGCATCTGCATGCCTTTGATCGCTTCTCTAATACTTATTTGTGACAATTTTCGTCTGAATGTCGACAACAATTGACAGACTTCCCTTTAGTAGGAGGACACATTTATCGTTCCATATTTTGGATAAGGCATATTTGAAGCTACCTCGGGCAACAGCCAATAACGTGATCAGCTGCGAAAGAGACTCTCAAAATACGTTTGCGTCTCAATATCACATCTCATACCTCTAATTTTATTTTTTTTTTTGTTAAACAGAACTCAATTTATGCTTTATTTGTCACAATTTTCATGACAATATCTTAGCTTGCTACATAGATTTTGCAAGATCCCAGTCTTTCGCGTTATCTTTTGCAATTTTTTAAACTTTACTTAGGTAAATGTTTACTCAATGACTGCTGGAATCTGCTTAGCGAATTTTGTTCTAAAAATAATGTAAAATCTTCCAGAACGTATAAACTTTAAATAGGGTTGCCAATTTGAAGCCTACTTAGAACGTGCATTTTTAACACATCCAAGATGAAAAAAAATCAGAATGCGTACCTAAATAGAAAATATTGCGTGTTCCATTGCCAAGTGTAATAGCAAAACATTAAAAAAAAGGTTTTTTTTTACGTCACGCTTGAACGCAATGTATTCTTCCTAACGATGATATGTGTTGACTTGGCGTAATTTCTTATACATAGATGTAGACAAAAATGTTAGTTGTCTATCTAAATATGACGCATTCTTGTACAGTATTACTTTAATGTTTCGAGTTAATTTTTTGTTATTTCATTTGTTTTTCATTTCTGTTTGCGAGTATTTACAATATTCTTTATTGCACAAGAAAAATAAATCGAGAAACAAACAAGGGCAAGTCTTAGTAGTCTTATTGCTAGATAGCGTTTTCAACCATGTTATGTCGCCTATTTTCATGGCTGCCTTTCAAGAAATTCCTTTTAATACTAATTAGTTGCATTAATATTGTTGATAAATTCAATTATTTGCTTAAAACAATAAATTATACTTACAATGTAACTTGTCGCGTATTAGCAGAACTGTAAATCATAAACACACGTTTTCCGACTTAAAAAAGAACGTCAAGTGTAATTTCCCAGTAATAATTCAACAGACAGTGATGTTCGGCTTTCCTCAGATTTCTGTCCATTGCGCATTTATAACAGGCATTGTTAGTGTTGGGCGTCGATACTATAACTTTCGATAATCAATCGATACCAAAATTATCTTTAAAATTATCCACTCGTTAAGTATACAGTATGTAATATGGGGACTGAATGAAAGCGCTTTCTGTGGACATAGTTTATCGGTATATGCATTCATGTGCTTACGAAAGATGGCTGTACACTCAAGGCAAATATGTATGTGCTTTTCAATAATTTCACTATCAATCAAATATTCGCACACAGAATAGTTTGTAAGTTTCTATTTTATTTCAAATTATATTAAACCATCAGAGTATACCATTGGTTTTTTTATTTATTTATTAGGTTCATCAACAGTTGTTACATCAAATAACATGTTCAATTTGCATTGTTATGAGTATTATAGCAAGATGCACATTCAGTGACGGTGAAACACAACTTGCGTTGAGCAGGTTAGTCTTAATATTTAAGTGCTATGAAAGTGCATACAATTACATAAGAAACAGAAAACAATATTACAGATAAAAAACATTAAAATCATTAATAACACTTAAAGATAAGATGTTTATATGCTAATTATTGCTCTACGGAGACTGGATACCGAGTCCAAGAACATATCAATGTTGTCACTGTGCTCATTGTGTGATCCAGACAGACGGCAGACAGGTGAGTTTAGACTTAGTTTAGTTCTTCTAAATGGTGTCGACAGGAGGGCAACAATCTAACGACTATAGTATCTACTGGACTTTAGTATACTCGTATGTCAATTAAATGTTATTAAATAAAATTGATACTTGCCAGCCGTGTTAGCAACAGTATTAACACAGGTACAAACCTTTTGCACGTTATAAATGTTTAATAATAAGTGACTTCGTCAAGAATTATTAAGTAATTAAGTACTGTAACTATTTCTCTATACTTAGGGCAGTAACTATAAATAAACGGTTATTAGGTAGGTCAGTTTCAATATTCTACGGCATTCTTTATTTGAAACGATTGAGTATAACTGATATTTGAACAGATTGAGTAATCAATTTTTATTCAAAAAATACATACTGTCTGCTAAATTCGTAAACCTCGTAGTTTGATTAAGGTAAACTTTTGAGTAAAAAAACACTAGAAATAATTTTAGAATCAACTTTTGGTCTAGAACTTATATTTTAAGTTTTAATTGTCCGATATTGCGCTTGACGAGTAGAAAAGGGATCAAAGTCCAAAGGCGAATGATACATTTCACGTCCTCTTCTCACCAATGATGGCAAAGACCATAGCCTTCCACTTGCTACAATCCCGACACACATCTTCTTTCTTTTCATCAATACACATCAGTGCTTTCATACTGCTCTTTATCAAGGATACGCTTGTCTTAGCCTTTATGTGAGGGCGGTTATTATTATCCTTATTTAATATAAATAGTAATTAATGTCTCGATAGATAAATACCGATACATTATTGATAATAATATTAGATTCGATCAGAACTCTTAATTACACGTAACTATCGATTAAGTAACAATGAAAGTATTATTATATTACATTATTGTATTGATACTATGGAATATCAATAATCTTTTCGATATGTGACTTGACAACACTAGTGCCATATTGCATTCTGGGCACGGTTGGGTGCATTAGATGCACTTATTCTAGTGGAAAGAGGTTAATAGCCTATTTGTCTATATTTTTCAACTGAGAATATGGACATATTTTGACGACCTCAGTGGCTCAACGGTTTGCATTGTGGACACTGCATGAGGAGGTCCCGGGTTCGATTCCTGGTACGACCAATTTGGAAAATGAACGTTTCTAAATTGGTTCACGTCTGGGTGTTTCGATCTGGCACAATATTATTACTGTTATTAATATAATATAGTAATCAAGATTGGCTCTCAGAGCACAACAAGCTCGACACTAAGCCTCTAAAGCTTTATTTTTTAACATTGTTGAACATTGGCGCACTTTATTTCGTTAATGCTACGGGCTATATTTGAATAAAAGTGTAGCTGTAGGTTCCACTGTGTATATAGTTTTTTAGTGTGACCAAATTATTATAAGACGTGTGAGAATATGGCCGCCGTGGCCGAACGGTTACCACGTTAGGTTGCCGCAGACGTCCCGGGAAAGATTCCCGGGCCGGGAGAAA